TGTACAACCTTTCAAGAATTAAAGCCTCTCCCAAGTGAAGAGACAAGAGGCAAGCTGGGCTACACAAAGAAATAGTTCCACGGATTTAACAAATTTTCAGCATTAGCAGCCATTCCTTGAGTTCATATTAACATTTGTGCCGATGAAATTATATACTTTACTAAAAAGGAAAATACTCTTTAGCAAGGTATAGTATAATATGTGGTTAATTTGACAAAAAATTAAGAAGTTACGAACTACTTTCTGGTGAAAATGACATCATTGGTGAATGCCTTTACCGATACTTTTAAAACCCTTATTGTGATTATTGGTTGTAGATTTATTAGGTTGTAAAATAAAAAAAGTTCGAGCAGTCTTATCATAACATATATTACTAACTGCACAAAGCAAATAGCGATTGCGTTTACTTTATCTAAACATACAAACGGTGCACAATTTATTAAAGGAAGCTGATAAATGTAAGGGCTGTAAAAATAAAAGAATCGATAACACTGAATCTCAGCAGTAAGTTCAGTCTTCAGTCTTCTGTCTTCAGTAATAAGGATAGTAGGTTGATGAACCTGTGTTAATCCTGACACATTGCTTTCCAGTGAAGGTCCAGCTTTTCCTTGAAAGTATTCACTGATGGGGCTGATACCACTTGTTCGGGTAAGGGGTTCCAATGATTGACTACTCGATGAGAAGAACGGGACCCCACTTTAAGTTTATTAGATCGTGGTTTATGAACCTTCTTGCTATGACCTCAGAGATTATTAGTGCTGGAGGGAGCAAAAAGATAAGACATATTAACACCCAAATCATAATTAAAGATACGAAATGCCAGTATAAAGTCACTTCGTGTCCTACGATACGACAAGGAGAAAAGATTTAGGCGTTTTAAACGCTCATCGTAAGGGAGTCTAGAAAGACCCTTCATTAATTTTGTTCCCACATGCTGGACACGCTCAAGGGAGTTAGTGTCCTTTACCAGACACGGGCTAGCTGCTTGGATACAGTACTCTAAATGTAGTCTAACATGTATGGGATATAAAATTCGAAACGTTTCCTCGTCAAAAGATTTGAACGCTCGGCGAAGTGACCATAACGCAAGAAAACCTTTGACAGCGGCTGCTTTGCAATGCGTAGTTGTCTTTATGCTCTTGAACGCATGGAAGAGGTTTACCATCAATAGTGTAACGGTAACTATTACCGTGACCGATGTGCATTAGCACACCCTTCCTAGCATTGATTTCTAAGCCCCACTATCGAGCCCATCTAACCAAATCGTCTAAGTCAGCTTGAAGATCTAGATGATCAGCCGCACTTTTTATTGTTCTCCAGATTTTTATATCATCCGCAAACAATAATGTCGACGACCTAAGCAACAGTGGTAACTCATTAACGTAGAGAAGTAAGAACAGAGGGCCTAAGATGGTGCCTTGGGGTACACCACTTTTGACCGGCTTCCAATCGGATAGCGTTACGTTGACCCTCACTCTCTGTTTGCGGCCACATAAGAAGTTACCTATCCACTCCTGTACAGAACCTATCATTCCGAAGCTCGTGAGCTTCTGCATAAGACCTACGTGTGAAACTTTGTCAAATGCTTTGCTAAAATCTGTGAATATCACATCGACAGACAGACCGTTATCTACGGTTGCTGTCCAATCCTCCTTCGCAATAAGCAAGTTAGTCAAGCATGAACGCTTGTTACGAAATCCGTGTTGATCAGGAGCCAACAGATTGTGTAAATCTATGTGGCTTAGCAACCTAACCCGAATAATCTTTTCGAGTAACTTAACGACTATGCTAGTTAGACTGACACGCCGGTAGTTAGATACTATCTGTCGCTGACCGTCCTTAAATATAGGACTAACTATAGTGTCCTTCCAATCTCTAGGGCGTTGAGCGAGTGAGAGGGACATGTTGAAGAGTGTCGCAAACAGTTTTGAAATAATGTCCGCAAGAGATGACAGCAACCGTGGATGTAACCCGTCAGGGCCCGGTGTCTTATCAGGTTTGAGGTTAGTTATCAACGGAAGGACAGTTTCCTCAGTCAACTGTACAGATTCAATGGTTGGTATCTCGGTGTGAGTGGGACAAGTATTTGTTACAATAAACGTAGAGAAGACTTCGCTAAAATAGTCTGAAAAAGTCTCAGCTTTTGCTCGATCTGATTCAGCTAGTAATTCTGAATTTTCGTGTAACAGCAACGGGGGAATACCATCACTACGTTTCATTTGCCGTTTAACATACGAAAACAATCGTTTCGGACAAGTACGGCTATCATATACTAACTGTCGTTCGTAAGTGGTACGGGATTTCGCTATGGTTTTCTTACAGATATTACGGTATTTTTGATACTCACGCTTAAATGGTGCATGACCTGTCAACAAGAATAAGTCCCAGAAATGTTTCCTACGCTTTAACAGCTTCCGGGTTTCCTTATTAATCCATGGAGGGCAATGTGATAGCTTACGTGCTGACCATGGGATAAACGGCGACGTTACGGACTCGAATGTAGCCTTAAACTTATTCCATTCATCTTCGATCAATCCATCCGCGTCGACTGACCAATCGGTCAAGATAGCACGGTTTCTGATTTCCGGAATATTAGCTCGCCAGATATTGGGACGGGGTGGAGCAGATACGAATTGTATACCATGCGTCCTAAACTTAAAGTGAATTACAACGTGATCACTGTTCACTAGGGGAGGAAGGTGCTGGATATCAAAGACATCCTCAGAGTGGTGGGTGAGGGCGAGGTCCAGCAGTGACGGATCATGTTGCAAATCAATATGTGTCGGTTTTGTGATTCATTGTACAAGTGCACACTGAATAACGGTAGACAAAAGGTCGCTATCGAAACTACTACCTGGAGCTGTAAGCTCCATCCAGTTGATATGCGGTGCGTTGAAGTCTCCAATGGTGAGACAACATTCTGCCATACTCCAAGAACAGATGTGTCTTAGGATAAAGTCGTCAGCAAGACAAGACGGACTACGGTATATTCCCCCTATAGTCGCTAACCTATTTCTAGATTTAATCTTACAACATGCAACCTCACATGTGCCACTGATATGAGCCTCCGATATGGTTGATTGTATACGAAAGTGATCCCTAACGTATAATATTATACCTCCCCCTTTGCGACTTGAAACTCTATCACTTCTGATACAGATATAACCAGCATTGAAAGGAGAACAGTCTATATCAACGGTGAACCAAGTTTCTGTAACAACGATTATATCGGGACATAATTCTTGCACCATCAGACTTAGCTCGGATGTTTTATTTCTAAGACTACGAGCGTTCGTGTAGCACACACTTAAGGTGTTTTGGAAATCAATCGTTCTACCCATACGGGCCTCGGAAGCATTGGCTTCCAAGACCTGACTACCCGAAAACCCTTAATGGTAAGGTTATTTTCGCCATTTAACTTGCAATTCCTCGACTCCATAAGAGCATTCTTCCACTTGATTCGATCCTCAAGCGGCCAATCTGGTCGAATACGGATATTTGAGTCACGAGGTTTTAGTGCGCTTTTCAATAATATGTCTCTTTCTTCGAAACTCCCGAGAACCAGCTTCAGGATTCTTCTTGGTTGAGTCTCGCCTCCAACCCATTTACCAAGTCGTATTACTTTTGTAATATGCACCCCTGAAACCTCTTCAGGTAGTACATTCCTTACCACAGACTCCACTAACTGCAGGTCATGTGCATGTCTTCTAGCAGGATCGTTGTCTTTCGACTCCTCTAGATTCCAAATAATTAAACTAGGGAGGGGTTTAGCTTCTTTTGAAACTGTGTTCACAGCTTTCGACCGTGACGTTAGATCCTGTATTTTAACTACTGGTGTCTTACGATTAGTTTTTATTTTAACAGAGTCCTGGGAGTCAAGCGAGTGACTCACAACAATGTCAGACGAAGCTTTACTATGGGACTTTGGCGGATTGGTTTGAGAGTCCACCAAGGACTTACCAAGTAAACAGTCATTAGTTTTAGCTATCTTTCCTACTCTTCTGCGTTTTCGCGTCATCCATTTTCCATCAGTCGAAACGTCTACATTAGAACAACTCGGGATAGTAATTGTTTTATCTGGGTCACCGGTTGCTGCTGTAGTAATATGGCCACCAACGTCTAATGACGTGTCACTCACTGATCGTTTCGAGGGAGAACGTTTAACTGCGTGTTGCACAGGTAGATGTCTGGCTTGCGCCGTGATAGCACTTACGACACTAACGCAATCTTCGCCATCAGTACCAATGTTATCAGTACAGCCCTCATCAACCTTCTTATTAGCCAACACCAGGAGACTAATTGCTTCCTGGTTAAGCAATGTTTTACTCGAGCAACAAAAACTACAAAGCCAATGAGAGTTGGGCATTGAACACCTTTTATATGCAGTGCGGCTTAGTCGGGTGCACATCTTATGGAACCACTTATTACACTCATCACATTGCATCCCTTCATCCACGGGAAATAAGCAGTATGGTTGTCCACATTTATGAGAAGACCTAGCCATCTTGAAAATCAACTAGAACGGTGACAAAAACAGGATATGTAAAAGGATTTTCAAACCTTAGCTAAATAAATCAAGTAAAAGTCGACCAAGTATGCTTCGATGCAATAAATACACAAAAGCAAAATCGAAAAACTCAATACAATATCACTTTAACTGGGGTAGATGCAATTAAAGTGTAAACAGTAGTTTTGATGCGTAATTTACGATCAAAACAGTTAATTAACTCAACGAAAAAGAATACCACTGTCCTTTTGAATAGAGCGTTAAGTGTTTATTCACAATCGTTTATCACTTTTGATATGATTACTTTGGTACCTTTCAAACCTCAACTAGTGCGGTCTTTCTCTAATGTACAGCGTAAATTCACAGAAAATGAAACAATCATTTGATTATGTACCTCGAAACAAGATGGTAAATAAATTTCCATACAATCTTGGTTTTATTGTTAACTGATTATTAATAGCGCATGTTGTAAACGTTGTAACTATATTCCGTGATGGGATGTTTACTAAGTATTGACGAGAAGGAAGCTGTTCTAAGATCTAAACAAATAGACGCCTCACTCAAAAGCGATGGCGAAAAAATGGCAAGAATAGCTAAGCTGTTGTTGTTGGGTAATCTTCAAAGTTTCATAACCTTTTAATAATACAAGGTGCTGGTGAGTCTGGGAAAAGTACAATACTTAAGCAGCTAAAGTAGGGTCAGTCAATTTTTAGATGACTTTTTTAGGATTATTCACCAGTCTAGCTACACAAGAGAGGAATGCTTACTTTATAAGCCTGTTGTTTATAGCAACACTGTTCAGAGTATGATAGCAATTATACGAGCCATGGGTCACTTGTACATTAAATTTGAGGACGAGTGTCGAATGGTGAGTCGTTTTTCTTGTGAAAATCATCCTCTTTGAATTAACGTTTTAAAACGTCTGTCCTTAATTGAATTGATAGATTTTAATTATTGATGATGGTATTTAAAAACATTGCTTTGTTGTGTGTCTTAGTCTCAAACAATTTACCACTTTAACGAAGCAGTTTTGAGCAAAACTACATATAAGGCAAAAGTAAGCATGTTGCAATCCTTTTAAATTGTCCTAACCTAAAGACATAGCTTTTTCATGGTCCTAATCGATAGAAAATTACGTGTAAATTTACTAAGGTGTTCAGAACACTTCAGGCTTTAGTTAGAGCAGATAAAATCGTTTTTGTAGTTAAACTGGATTTTCAATCGTTTGTTATGTATTTAACCAAATTGTAGTTTATGGCTGAAATTGTGATATTAAACCTTGAAACAGATGTGGAACTCCAAACAATTTTGGCGTTTTGAAAAATATAGAATATTTTGTTAATTCAGGCTGTTTACGTGGTTCGTCGCTGGTTTGTTTGTTTCGCTTTAGATACATATATTAATATTACCCATCGATTTATTCCTTCAATTGTTCTTTTTTGGGCAAAGTGATATATCATTAAGTGATTGTTTACCTGGCATACTTATCCGCAAGAGACGTCCATTCTTTCCTACGAATGTCGAAATGTCGAAGAAAACTAATAATAAATCACCGTGTTTTCAGACTTGCCTACTGTTGTAGATAGCTGTTTACTAAAATACTAACTGAACTCGTGGATAACTAGGGATCGAGAGTTGCACAGACCATACAGTATGCACTGATTAATCATGCAACATGGACAAGTTAAAACAAATTCCATAAATAATTTTCCAAGGTTAGGACTTAGGAAATAAGCATATTATAATTTTCTGCTTGACGTCTAACTATTTCTTGTTAAAATGGCATTCTTATGTTACACCTTACAAAAACAAGCCATATGACTTATTTCATAAAATTTGCATTTGAGTGAACAACATATCAAGCTTGCAACTCTGGATAATGTCACATAAAAACCTAAAAGTTACACGCTACTAATAAAAATTCACTAGCTAAATAAACTTTTGATAAATGACATTGATATATACTGATAATTAAGAGTAATATGGTGTATGTTTAAGTGCATTTGGTTGCCCCCACTTGTGTTCTCATTGCTTATAGTAATAAAATTTTGCCTAAGAAGATACCTAAAAAGGTACCCAAAACTTGCTTGTTAGCTTTGAGTATATGATCTTTAACCTGACATTTTTGACGCAAAAGTGTGACCAGGAGATCTTATCCATATTTACTTTTTCTTGTATTATTTTAATTGTTATGCATTAATTTTTCAAAATCTTAATGACAAATCACTTTTAAGTTATTTTTAGACCGTTGATTAAATTTTTTCTAGTGTATTCAAGTTATTACTTCCTCAAATATCAGAAAAAATATTTTATTTACTGCAAATCTTAAATAGGACGACGCTCGGACTTTATTTGCGTGTGCGAATGAGGCCGCAGACGGTTACTTATCAACTGAATTATATAATGCTCTTTATCAACTCTGGAATGATGATGGTGTTCAACAATGTTTCAAGCGTTCAAGAGAATATCAGTTAAATGATTCAGCATCTTAGTAAGTTTTGAATAATAAATTAAAGTTTACGCACCATTAGAGTTAAGATCAATCGCATAAGAAGGAGTTAAATGTTGTAGCAAAACATTTGATTCAATATATAATATTATGACAGACTCTATGAATGCATTCGAAATGACGGCAGCGATAGATATCATAACATAAACAGTTGTATAGATAAATAATTTTGTCTCCTTGAGGTTAGCTTAGTGAGAATCCTTTGCCACCAACCTAACCCTCCAACGTGGAAGTTACTTAATAATTGTAAAAGAAACTAGGCGTTATATTAGTGGAAACACTACGAGCCACACGCCTGAACATATTAGATACAAGTAGTTGTTTGGCGAACTGGATGATATCAGATTTTCAAAATATTCATCAGCTGTATTAACAAAGAAATAAAAAAGAAACATTTCTATGATCCTTATTTATATGTCTTATTTTTACTGAAAGTGAGGAGAAAATAGGGAGTGTCATATTCTACTCTTGTATTGTATAAAAAACTGCCCTCTGTATTGATATTACCCCTAGTCATTTTGGCTTTCCAAAGAAAGCGTTACCATCCGCCGACAATGGAGTAAATATTTCGGTATATCGCCAAGAGTTTACGTGAATTATAATCAAAAGATGGAAAAATTATAAAACACAAATGTTATTTTTCCACAACAAATGGCTAAAGCAACTGCTTTCTCATTGTTTCTATTCTTTTGCAGCTTTTTCAATTCTTTAGACAGATTGGCTAAACATGATTACATTCCGACCGATCAAGACGTATTAAGAACACGTGTAAAGACTACGGGCATACAAGAAACTCAGTTTTCTTACAAAAAGATTGAGTTCCGGTAAATGTTTTAATAGTGAATCCTGATTGATGTTCGCTTAAATCAAACTTGTTAACTCTAAGAGCGGCAATAGTTTCAAGTTCTCCAATAATGTCACCACCAGGAAGTTTTAAGTAGTATGTTGAGATGACGTTTTTTATGAAAATATTATTCATGTGATAAACTGAGAATAATTTGCGTTTCCAGTTGACTTTTATTAAACTTCTAATAAAAACAAAGTAGAGCAAGATGAAGCGACTGAAAACAGAAGGCATTGGGGAGAGCTAAACGATGCTTTATTCACGTGATGTAAGTTTCCGAACAGCCGAGCAAAGAAAATGACATCTTTCAACCAAACTTTGAAGCATAGTTACTTTTAAATAATTCTTTTTGATCAAGAAATCATTCTTTATCTACGAATATTTTTATTCATGGTCATTTTTACGTTCGTTTAAAAATATATCAATCAATTCAGTTTACAATCCGTCGACCGAAATTCTTTAATATTCTTTACACTTTGGCTTGATTTAGTACTTCAGTGAACGAACACTCAGGTGGGGAAGACCAATTTATTGTTTTTTGTACAATTAAATAGTAGTTTAGTAAAATGAGAAAATTATACGCCAACTACATTATTTGCGAATCTCCCTTGAGTTATCTCTTACAAGCTTCCTTGTTCCTTTGTTTCCGTTTTTATCTTGATTACTTCTCTCTTCTCTTCATTTTAATCTTCTCAACCTGGTGCTACACACAACTTATATCTGCAAACACAAGTATCATACACCACAGTACAACTACTGTGTTAATTCGATCAGTGTTTTGCTTCTAACTATTTACTGATTTACACTTAACACCCGGATAAAGTTCCGTTTTTGAAAGAAAGCCATTAACAGAAGGACTATTGTAGGTTTAGTGTAGGATATTGAAAGTTTATTAAATTGGAGGATACAAGATATGAAAGAAATGCCTGGGTAAAAGAACCGGTGAATAATGGTCTATTTGCCCCAGACTAAATCGCGATGAAGCAGATAAACTTTTCAGATAAACCCATAATGACTCCTCAATATGTCAGTTCTCGTGATGGGTAGTAAGTTTCAAAATGTATCGTTCGATTTTCTCACGTTTAAAAATCTATTTTAAATTTAGATAATAATTTTTAGTAAAGGTCGACTAAAACCGTGAATGATTGGTGAAGTGAACAGAAAAATAAATTTTTGTTTTATTGTTACCCTTGCGACGAACTATATAATTTGCATTTGTTTGTGAATAAATATCTATCTTAAATCTTCATAATTGATAATCTAACCCTTAATAAATTTGTAAGATATAAGATCTCCAGTGATTAATTGGCTTAATGGTGGCACTCTAGATCCCTTTCTGTTTTTTCCTGACAAAAATAAGAAAACCACTCACGATTACTTTTCATTGTTTGGTGAATGTAGGTTAGTAGATGTCGGCGGACAAAGATCAGAAAGAAAAAAGTGGATTCATTGTTTTCAAGATGTCACTGCAATCATATTTGTGGTTGCATTAAGTGAATATGATCTTGGTCTAGCTGAAGACCAAACAACTGTAAGTTCTTAACTTTTAGTGGTTTGCGTAAACCGTTAACAATTCTTTAAACAATAAACAAACTTGTATGAACTGATGAGCAAGTTTTTAACTTGTTACTCATAAATATTTCAGTCAGCAAGATGGGTTAGCCATGATGCTTTAAGTAAAAAATATTCTAACAGTTGATTATCAAAAGGACAGCTTTAAAGCAGAGCTAGATCTCTTGAGCAGGAAAACAGGTCAATACGGGTTAGTCCACATGTTTTAATTGTGTAGATTCACCGTCAGCTACCTTTAAATCGAGAGACAGGATAATTCATAACATCAGTTACGTGTTTTCTAAGTCGTGTAGAGAAATACATATAGACTTGCTGCCTGTATTTATGATAGTTCAATAGTTGGAGGTCTTTGTCATCTTGATTTAAAATCATACTCAATTTTCTGAATTAATCAAATTCATGGTTTAGAACCACCAGTTGACCTTTGAGTCTAATTGAATGTTGGCTAGCAGTAAGATTCTTGATGCATATCACATCCTGTTTGCGACTTTTTGGCTGGAGATATATATATATATATGCCAGTATTAACCTACGTGTTAAAATTGGAACTTATCACATATCACCTTAAATACTGACGTGCTGACGACTATGACAATGAGGTTAGATAGTTGCCAAGCTATTTGGGGTGAATTATGTTTATCAATAAATCATGAAATGTTTTTTCATGAATTTCGAATAAGAAAATATGAGAGTCATAGATTCCAGCGCTACCAGTTATTAACATGTACGAAAACCTTTAGCGAAAGGGACATATAGAAATACTCATTAAGGCTCTACATATCAAAGTTCAGTCATGAATTTCAACAAAAGGAAATTACAACCTCAAAGAACCGTAGTTAATTTTTTCAGTGTTTTGAATTATATACTTGATGGTTTAGTCTAGTTGCCCATATTCAGAAATCAAAACACAGTCAATCGGCGTCTACTACGTAAATATATAACAATTATAATATCGAAGCTTGTGTCAAGTGAACAACGAATTCTTTTAATCGGAAAGTTGCGTTAATGCATAAAATAAATCAGAATGAATGGAGCTTATGGTAACGGCGTTCGTGCTTTGTTACAAATAGAACATGTAGTAGTTGTTGCATCCATAAAGAATCTGATATTCATTGTCCTGTATATAGAGAGAACTATGGTTCATAAGTAAGTAAAGGCCAGCTCGTTGAAAACATGACCATCTTCAGAGCTCAGTTACTGTGTTTGCTGGGTTCGAGCAAAAATTGATACATCGAAATTGTCTTTGCCGATCAGTTCAAATAAACTAGTCAATGTATTTTGCGAAGTTATGGAGATGGACGTATACAGAGTTTGATAGAAGTAAGCTAAGGTGTCTGAGTTTGACAGGAAATTACTTGCCACTTTGTCCGTTTACCTGACAGTTAGATGATACATAACAATGCTGGTACGTCAAATGATTTTCGAATATCCTAGAGAAAAATTTTGAAAATATCTTTCTATCATGAATCACTGACCATCAAATGACTATAATCCGAGAAGTGATTCATGAGTGGTCGATTTTTACATTGAGAACGCCATAGAAGTTAGTTTTTGACGTCAAAATACCCCATACTTTGATTTCTTACTTCTGGTCAACTCACTTTTTGTACCTCTTATTTTATCAATGTTTTCGTTTTACAATGTGTGTAGTTCGTAATAGTTTCTCTCAACTCGAAATTGTTTCCTACGCTAATGATCAAGATATATTCCATTCTAATGTAGAAACTCAAAATCAATAAATAGAAACTATGGCAGTTTTTCTTACTTTATTAATTACACTGTTTCTTCATATAAAAAACATCATAATCTATTTCTTTAATGATAAATGATGGAAAAATTTACCAACAGATAAATTGCAATGTCAGTTCATTTACTTTACATATTATGAATAACTGAAGAGAAGCATTTGAATAACTTGAGTCCCTATTTATGTATTGAAAATTTTCTTTTCATTTGATTTGATGAAAAGTACTTGTATTTCAAGCTTATATGAAAACGTAATTTTTAATTTCTGTATGCAGTCAAAAGGTTCATGTGATTTACCTTAGCTATGCAGTCGATTTCAGTATTGTTCATAACTTTGAAGTTATAACCTAATATAACTCAGAATATTTAACAAAATGCATCTACAAAATTAAAAAAGAACCGAATATTTTACCTATAACTTCGCCATCATCACCATAATAACAATAAGTATAATAAATTAAAATCGATAAAATGGTATTAGCAACACCAACAATAAAAATAATTTGACAAGCAGAAAATAATTATTTCAAAATATATTGACAACGCAAATCCGTTTTCATATGTTACTTTTAATGGTATGACAACGACACAAATATTTTTTAGTTGTGACCTTATATCGATCCTAGCAAGAAGTAATTGGTTTATTAAGTACTTACGTAATTGCGCTTTTGCTATTGATGTTTATTAAAAATGTCACATATAATAAATAATCCATTCAAGGTGATTGAAGTGAAAATTGGGGAACACAATTGAAATCTTATAGAATTATGATGATAACTAACTGATCATTATAGACCATATATGTATAATAGCAAACACAAATCTAACCACTATGTAATTACATATGTAGATAAACGTAAGTGAACAGATTCTTTCATTATAATTAAACTGAATCTGGTCTACTGTGAGTGTCTTTTAAATGTAATCCGGATAATGGATAAGTTTAGTGCTACACAAATGAGCCCCTGATAAGATTATGACTCTTGTAGCCACAATTAATTGTTGAATAGTCAATACCAACTAAATGAATGCACACGACAGAAGTCCCAGGATGAATCACAATATATATCATTCTGATTGAGATCATGAATCAATTGATGTTAGACCACCGTTGGAAACCTGGAAGCACTGGACGGCCGTTTCGTCCTATTATGGGACTCCTCAGCAGTGCGCATCCACGATCCCGCTCTCCACGAGATTCGAACCCAGGACCTATCGGTCTCGCGCCAGGCGCTTAACCAACTAGACCACTGAGCCGGTATCCAATGGTGTTAGTGTCTAACATCAACCAATCCACGAAATTGCGCGACCAACTCCCATTGTACTGAGGTAGATATCATCCCACTATCTGTTTCGCAGTGATTAATTAATTTTTCCCTGAATATGATTATTTAATGGAATATTTTTCTAGTTACTATTTCGTAGGTTAGGATCAGAACATCGCTTCAAAATATGTGTAAATGATGAAATACCGAGCTGTGAAAATTGCTTCGTTTTGCGAAGGAACATGAAGAAACAATAACGTTTCGTTTAAATTGGACATTTTAGTTCAGTCATGAGCACGAACTGTCTGTAAAACGTTAGAAGCTAAGAATTGATGCATGAATGTCTTTCCTAGATTAAAAATAATCAGTAAAAATACTTGTTAGTATTAATGAAAATTATTTTGATTATCCATAAATACATATTTAGGTTTGAGAATTCATCGACCTAAAATAAGATTCAAAATGTCATTTCCCAGTCTGGGTATGGATTCCATACACAACAGTATTGATTCTGTAGTATCATCTACATAGAAATGTCAAATACTTTCTTAAACTATTTAAGTGATTATATGAATTTTGACATCAACGTTTGTTCATGACTTACAAACTGAACAAGCGACCAGAAGAACAGTGCAATAGAAATTAGATAAGCCGGTAGGTGCCTTACATAACTGTCAATATATTTTTTAGAAATTAGAATATATGAATATATGAAGCCTGTGAAGGGTTTTTAAGATACCATTTTTGAATCATTTCTCAACACATTTCAATGTTTAGTGTTTATTTGAAAATCAATTTTAATTAACTAGGTGAATTCGAATTACTTTACTGTTAGTTGTACGTCTACAGTAGCAACTAAATGCTAAGATATGAATATATAACTTTAATAAGTTTATTGGTTGTTACGATCTAATGTTTTATGAACTAATAGGAAAATCTGCTCCTTGTATATTAGGTTTTCAACTGTGTTTGTGTTTATTACCTGTTATTTTTTATTGATTTTCTACCATTTTTGTAGAAATTTATTTATTACTTCATATTTTTAGTTATTGGTCTATGCATGAAGTAAGTAAATTTTCGCTTTGTAATATCTTTGAGTTTAAAAGAAACTTTTTATACCCTTAATTATTGTTATTTTAGAATCGAATGGTTGAATCTATGAATTTATTTGATTCCATATGTAATAATAGTTGGTTCACTGAGACCAGTATGTTGTTATTTTTGAATAAGCGCGATTTGTTTGAACAAAAAATCTACCATTCACCACTGACAATTTGTTTTCCAGAATATATAGGTATGTTATTGTAATTATCTTTTCATTTCAATTCTGAACTATTACTTACGCCTTATATATTTCATTGCGAATAATTAAGAGATACAGACCACATAAATTAATAAAAAAAATTTATTTAAGTAGTATCTTATATTTTGCTGGAAAAGGGATCACATTTTATATCATTATATAAATTAAACAACATAAATAGCGGTATAGAAATTATTTGAGATCTCACTGAAGCAAAAACAAATAAAAAATATGAAAAGCATTTAAATCATGCGTCTCTTTGTTTTGGATTGAGAGGTTTTGTCGTACATTAGTGTTTCTTGACAATAAAATATTTACACTTATTCATTCCTTCAAGTTGTTAATATGGAATGAATAGTGGTATCTAATTTAATAGTCAGTGAAAAATTCAATCATTATTCATCTACATGAATCTTAATATTTGCCGGGTTATTGTATTTTAGTTTCACGAAAAATTGAGAACTCTATGTTATACAGTTCTTTATTAACATTTGCTAAGATGTAATGTTACTTAATTTCAGATATTTATAGGTCGAGTTTTGATTAAACTACCTTCAGGAGTCAAACACAATAATTCAAAGTGTAATGGCTTTAATGTGATTTATGGTAGTCTCGTCTTTTATCCCAAAATATTGTTTTGTAAAAGTACTTAATATAAAAGAAAGAAACATAAAACAAGTACTTTTTGAGAGTGAGTAATTGTTTGTTTGATGACATCTGATGATGATGTATCCAGAACTCCTTAGAGAAAGTATAATCTCTAAAGCGAAGATTTAATTTTAAGTTAAAATAATTTAAGTTAACGAAGTTAAATAGTCGAATAGGTATGCATTTTATTTTATTTAGCTATGAATTTTGCCTAATCTATCAGGTTATATATTCAACTACTTGTAGTACATAAGGCTAAAAAAGATCATATGGACTAATAATAAATTTAGAATGAATGTTGGTTGCAAAATGTCGCGAATTAATTGAAATCAGGCATATAAACCATTTTATATCTGCCAAATGGTTTGATGGTTAAGCCTTTACTACCAGAACGCAAAACATGAGTTTATTCTCCAATGGGATTGCGGATACAGACTGCTGAACAGTCAATTAATAGAGAAAAGTAGGTGTTCAGTGCTTTTCGGTTGATAAAGGATCTTAGTAATAAATGTAGAAATGCTGACTATTAATAATTGAAATTAGTATGTGAAACCAAGCTGAATATTAGTGATATATAGTATCAGATTATTGACAAACCTGAGTTTATCAACTTTCGTTTATTTTGCAAAACCAATAATTTTATACCGGAAGTATATCGAGACTAAACGTAATAGTTACAACAAGTAGCTTACCAAAATACGGTGTTTTGTTTTACATGGAACACAAAAATATTTATTTATTGTGAAATAAAACATTTCAACTGCTTTTATGAATAACATTTCGGCGTATCGTAATAGGTTTATATACTTAGGTTTTGCATCTTGCTCATCAGAAATAATCTAATATTTAGACGTTTGTTTTCAAAAGTCGTCGCAGTTGATTAAAAAATGTAAGCTGGTAATTTAAGTCGAAACCAAATGTGCCATGGGTGCTAATATTTAACGTTCATTTCTCAAAACGTTGTGTGTCAATCGGTTATCCTTTAGTCGCTTTGTCATCCATGTTATTTATTTCTAAAACAAAGGAAATAGAAAGTATACGTGTTTTAGTTGTAAAGTTGTTTCATATGAGTCGATTTTTTTGTATATAGCTGACAGTAACTAAAGAATTATTGGGGAATTTGCAATTTTTGACTTCGACTGTTCTTATGAAGGTTGAAATCTTAATGTCGTTGAAAATTCTGAACTACACAGAAACTGTAAGCTGGATATTTACTATTTTATAGTCGTCATTTAGTAAGCTAACAGGGTCGTAAGCTGCACTTTACCGAATATTACTAACAAGTTTATATTTTTATTCACTGGAATAACCTGTTTACTTCACCTTAAAATTCTATTCACTATTTCTTTCGTTCAATAACTGACTTAACAAACTTTTAATAAGTATTTAGACAAGTGTTCATGACGCTTCCTTTGAAAGCACCGGATTTGATTGCAAGCGATCTTTCACTGTCACATAATATTAGTTAATGAATGCCATAAGAAGAGATAAGCTTGCCTAAGTTTTCGTTATTGCATGTTAATTCTTTCTTTAAAGGATTACGTCGATAACATTTTCCTAATTCATAAGTCCGCAATGATATTTATTGTCACCTGATTTATTGTCATCGCTATCAAAGTACTAACTCTATTATGTGCCTCTGCGGAATATAAAACTGTCATCAAAGTTCAGTTTTCTCTATCTCTAGTAACGTGTGGATTATTAACGTCGAATTGTTGTCGTGTTACAGACCTCCACTCTATTTAAGTTCTTATTCTTTGAACCGTATTAAGATAATCTTCAGTCATCTGTAGATAAAATACACCACAGATCTGCCGGAAACCCTTATACCCTAATCTTTTCTGTAAAGATATAGTGGGATGGTTAAAAATGACTAGCTTATATCTGTGAATCCTCTGTTATGTCTCTGAGAAAGTAAATCGTAGGCAGAATACTAACTAGTTCCAAAACAGAAGAAGATAACTGTTTGATATCTCATAGTGATCAATCAGTACTCTTTGAAAAGTTAGTTGACTGAAAACACCAAACCTCAATACAGACGTTTTGAGGAAGTAAACGAAGTTCTATGTAATTGCTTGATTTCATATTACATTTTGGAAGCAGTTTGCCAAAAATTGATAACGCCATGAATAAACTAAACCAATACTGATCATTGAATTTTTTCTTCTAGATCAATTCCAACCCCGTAACCCATCAGAAATAAAGGGTTTGTTGATCATTTCAGTTAACATTTTAGAACATATGTGCAAAGATTACTAAGAATTATTTCTAATTGTCTAAATATAATGTTTGATCTATCAGACAAAATATCAGTGGACTACATAATCTCACTGTATTTTTTTATAGATGTATCAATTTTTACTAAAACCAATTTATTTATTCGTATCTTTAAAATCAACATCTCTCTCATCGTCCATACAACAACCAATGTTTGTGACATAAAATCGAATAGTGTCATGTTTCATTGTTAATCCAGGAAAATAACTCAAATAGATTGTGATGTTTAAAACTACATAAATTCATCATATTTATGTCATTATAGATTATAAATAGTTAAATTGCTTGGGATATTTTATAAATAGATGAATTTAAATAAAAGTGCTGTATTTGCATTTATTTCGGTAAGGAGTATGTAATTTATAAATCACAATCCTGTAAAATGAGTTAGGGTAACCTTGTCATTTTTAAAATAAATAGCTGTTCCTTTTATGTGAAATATAGTTTCGAAACCAAAACCCTTTAAAAACCTTGGTTTATCATTGTTTTGGAGATACTGTAAAGTAGCTTTCAAACTTACTGAAGAAAGGTATCCGAAAATGAGGAAAAATAGTCAAATTTCTTTCTGTCTGATGAATTTGCGATGTTAATTTGACTGCTTTATATAAAGCATCTGTATGTTGCTAAATATGTAACTATTTAAATTTAAATTTAAGGTTTATTGATTGATGGTGTTGTGATTTATTTTTCATAAGCTAATACAACCCTTCGCGAAATAGTGAATAATCATTATCCAATAAACCTACATTCTTTATATTCACAGCATTCCTGTATCCTTATTAGACCTAGCGTACAGCAATATTGTTTTTCTAGTTCCGCGGAAAAGTCTCATATTAATAATCATTGTATGCTTTAAGAACTACTGTAGAGAACTATTGTTGGTAACCAATTATGAATTCATGTTACCATTCCTAGTGAACAATCACGCATTATGCATTACTCAATGGTAGCTTCATTAAGATAATAACATTTTACTCGCAAGTGATGCAAGTTCAAACCATTAGGCTTGCAGAGGAATAATAAAAGTTTATGGAACATCTTTTGCGTCTTCAGGTGTAAAGACGATTATTTACGATGATTTACTCAATAATATGAGTTGTTATAATGAACATCAGATAGGAACCCGTACAACAGATAACTTACAGATCTGATGAGAATGATGTTCGATTGTGCAGTAGATGTTTTGACATACATATGTCATAGCCTGTTTATATATGTAAGTTTCTAAAGGCTGTAATTGTATTTCTTACTGAATAACTATCCAAAGTGACGAGAAATGAACTTTATTCAGTTTTACTTTTTTAGCTAAATAAATATCTATCCGTGATCGGATTGTAACCATGAGTAAACATTTAATCAACATCTGTTTAAGATGAACTAATCGTTCCAAGTCTTATTGACTAAAGTTTAGTTTACTCACTCATCTTAGGACAAAACTTATTCATTACTCCTATACTGGTTACACATGGACAACTTAAAATTTTAAAGTTTTCCTAAGAAAATAGGTTATGATTTTCATTAGAGCTAACTTTATTGATAACAGTTGAAATCTAGTTCATTTGTTTGTTTAAATGCTAATTAAAGCTAGTGTAATTAATTTATATTGAACAATTGACGAGTATGATGATATTGTTGGTACAAAAGCCAGGTATATAGCTATAGTAAAGAATGTATGTCTGGTCATCCTTAGCCTGTATATGGCTTGTGATCACTGACAGTATGCATTGAAATAGGCTGTGGATTATCGTATGTAGTATTCAACCTAATCACTTTAATCGACGAATAATTTACAGTCTAAAGAACGGGTTTACAAGATTTACTTAGTGTTGTGTACAACATCTGCATCGCTCTTACAGTTGTTCCATCATTCAAATATGCTGTTTCAAATTCACGTATAGTAGCACACAAAAATTCATGTGAATCTCCTGACTGTAGAGACGATATTCAGTGTTTAAGTACTCAATTGCAAACGATGCTAGTACAATCAAATTTTATCATAGATCAGTAATATGATAGAATTCCTCTGAGAGGAATATCTGATGGCGATTTCTTATACATTCTAAACATGTAGATTGACACGTAGTTTAAGCTTCTATCCTTGAATAAAAGACGAAAAATGCATGTGACACAAACACCGTTTAGTTTCTGAAAGTAGCCCAAACGACTGAATTTTAGTGTATAATTTCAGAAAATAGCTCAACTAAGTAATTCAAAAGTGAATAAAAATTAGATTATCAAACGGTCATCCACCATTAGTACTCGTTTCACAGTTAAACATCAATATTTCACAGTGTGGTGGATATATACCTTTAGGTAATTAAAATAATATGTCTTTTCTGAACGAATAAACCGGCTTTTGTAAAATAGGACAGAACATCTCTAACCCATGAAGAAAAAAACGAATAAAATTGATTTTATTGAAATTCTCATGTATTTTCTGAATGATTCAGGATTAAAAAACTTTTCAGTAAAGTAGAATAAAGTAATGAGCATTTAAGCAAAGTTATCTGTATTCTTTTACTTTTATCAACTAGCAGAAATAAAGAATAATGAACAAAAAACTGATGATAACAATAAATTGAAATGTAGTCGTATTCTTTTAGACAAAATCAGAAAAATGAGAAATGAAATAGGAATTTGATATAGGTTTTGAACAAATTAATTTTCTATGCACTTCAATCTTTTTAAACAATAAAGTAGAAGAACAAAAATAATCCACATAGATTATTAAATATATTATCAATATTTTTCAATATAGTAACAAAGTTCATCTGTATTTTCATATATTGTATAGTCGGTCAAAGTATATAATTTTAATACAAATGAGTTACAGTAGTTCCGGTTCAATGTTAAATAATTGCTTATTTTCATAATAGTTGTATGAAATTATTTGTAAGAATGTATATATCAGTAGAACAATGACTCAAAATTACCAGTTAGTCTAAGAAATCTTTGTAAACTGAACTTGTAGAACGTAAACAGTAAACAGTTAATCAAGACTACATGTTGTCATGATGGTATAAAGGTAACAAGCCTATATTATTTAGAATGTTTTCGGTACAACAATGGGCTGAAATAAAACGATAAATTTTTCTATAATCATGTAATACTATTCTCGCTCTATTACAAATTTAAATTTAGTAACCGAGTATTTCATAATTTCATGTTTATTAAAGAAACCAATAATAAGGTGCACATTCAAAATTATGTTTACATGCAGAATGATATTCCTGAAATTCGGAAAATCATAGGTTATATGTACCTTCAATTGAAGAGAGTCTATGGTGGGCGAGTTGTTATGAGATGACGAATTATTCATCTAATTAAACATAAACACATATTTTCCACAAACTTTGAAGATCTGTATGTATGAATGAGCTGTAAATATTAGCACTCGAATTTTATCAGCGTTTTACATAGTTATCTTTTTCTCCAAATGCGTAACCGGCTGAACAAGCAAAGAGATTTGCATTGTTAATTGCACCTCACAATATTAAGATTATTTTAATTTGAAATATGTTAACTATCAAAACTGTATCACAGTGTTAAACGAACAGATATAAAGTCAAACTTTCTACATTATCATGATCATTTTATTGTTCTTCTTTTGGAATTTTTACTTTTTATTTGTAACAAACATTTTACAAACGGTTTTTAAAGTTATTGATTGTTTACATTGAAAACTATCATTTCTATCATTGAATATATTATTTATTGTAGGTGAAAATAATTATCAAGAAGCTGGATTATATATACAAACAAAATTTGAAGCACTTAATAGACAGACAACAAAAGAAATCTATACACATTTTACATGTGCGACAGATACTACAAATATACAGTTTGTATTCGATGCTGTAACAGATGTTATCATAAGGCGTAATCTTAAATTAGATGGACTTTTATGAAATTTCTTCATATTTTTTTATGTTTGCGTACATAAACAACTTGTGTGAGGTTTTACCTTTTGAACATTGTGTATACTGTTCTATGATTATGTATGAATTATTTGTATAAACCTTATGAAGTAATAAAATTAGCTTCATCACGTATATTACGACCTTATTAGTAAGAATATATAGGATGTATATGTTTGTGATAAAAGTACACATGCCGTTCTCCAGTGAACTTATAACTTGTCTTTATGCTTTTATATGTCTTTTGAAGATCCTTATACTATTAAGATTACTTTAATACGAATAAATGTTTTATGAAATTTTATCGTTATTATTCCCTTCCTTTTTAAAAGAACAATTGTCCAATTGTAAATCTTAAAGCATGTGTGTAAGCTAACTTCTCTGTATCAAATAATGAACTTCAATAACATTTGAAATGTACTGCTGATGCACAGCGATATAACTGGAAAATTTATTTTTCGTTCGAATATTTTGAATCACCTGTATTTTATAGGTCATTTTGTATAAATGTAGTCGAACGTGTTGACAACTTCACTTATCTTGGAAGTCTGATCAGCCCTAATGGGTTGGTGTCTGACGAAATCCCCACATGGGTTCGAAAAGCTCGTTTGGCTTTTACCAACTTACGTTACCTATGACGAAAGCGAGATATCCGTCTATCAATAAAAGGATGATTATACTGCGCGGCAGTCCGTTTTGTTTTACTTTACGGCTGCGAAACGTGGGCATTAAGATTAGATAATCATAATTTACTAGCATTCGATCACAGATGTCCTAGAAATACTGCTCGCATCTTCTGAGATCACCGGGTAAGTAATAGTGAGGTTAGACACAGGGTATCAGGGAATGATAATAAATCAGTTGATGAGGATGTGAATCTTCATCGACTGAGATGGTTGGGCCATGCATTACGTATGCCTGAACACCGATTACCACGACGCGCAATGCTAATCAGTGTTGGGGATGGTTGGAAGAAAGTTAGGGGTGGCCAAACTAAGTCGTAGCATCAGTGCTTGAAGTTACTAACCTCTAGATTGAGCCATGTTGGTAGATGCATACTACTTGGTTGGGGTCCGCGTGACTATCGTAACCAATAGTTGAGGACTTTTGGTGACATGGCTCAGAACCGATCACAGTGGCGTCGGTGTATACACTGCCTGTCTTCCCTTAAATTAAGAGATTAACATCGCTTCATATCTTTCTTTCTACGAGCCAATTCTTTCTTCCTGTACTATATTTTTATACAAAGTCTTTTTTTGTATATTACTAAGATTGAAGTAACTACTGTGAATTTGGTGTTCATCTTGTTGTGCACATATGTGGCTGATCCTACTTTGTAGCTGACTGACTTTTTATTTTTAACTTATCTGTTTTCTTAAATTTTATATTTTAATTCAAACGCTTTCCTTTGTATAGTCATCAAATTTCTATATATATATATATATATATATATATATATATATATATATATATATATATATATATATATATATTATAAACGAGTTTTGAATAGCTGATATACAGTTGATTTTATATGATAACGAATGACGAGTTAGCACTGACAATTTAATGAATCGAGATTAATCCTCGAGAACCGTGTTTCATTGAGTTATACAATATCAAAAGAGGAAACATGACGACAAAGCATGTACATTTTAAGAGGTAATCGGGTTCTTTTATATAAAGATTTTCTTTGAAATGGTCGATCATCAAGTTTAAACAACCGTATCGTAGGCAAATATCATGTTAAATGAATATCACAAAAGATAACTATGTGAAAGAAATTGCTAGCATATCATTAACTGTTACACTATACTAGTATCATAATGTTTTAATCCATAATTTTACTCTCAATTGCTTCCTAACATTGATGAAGATTGTTTTTGATGAGATTGATCTTTTTAATCAGGTCAGTGTAATCTTTAGCCTGAAATCATAAATTTAAATTGTCCTTTCCTTATCAAGGATGTTATTAATCTTATAATCTACATATGAAACATTTGTTGTTCAATCAAGTAATCTTCAATTTTTTAATACTACGTTAAATAGTTTCCAATATTTCAAACTTCAATTTGCTTTTTATATAATTTTAATAACGAAATACTTCGAAATTCTTCAATGGATAAGAACCCACTGTAAATGACTAGTTCCATGTGTTCTTCCTTATGAAAATGTAGTTGACAATGAGATTTAAGTTTACTGAAATACACATCAAACTATTCATATTGCATATTTCTAATTTTGGTTGATATAAAGATGAATTGTATTATATAATACTTGTGCTATTTGATTTAATAAACATTTGTACATTTTCTTAATTATTAAACTAAAAATAGTATTTAAACATTAGAGTAATATCTCGAATCAGTCATTGCAGTTTCATTTAATGTTCTCAAACTATTTCAGTTCATTACATTTAAACTAAATGTGTTGACCCTGAAGCTTTATAAATGTCAAAATAATGTTGTTTTCTTTTATACAAGATTTGCTTTTAAAATTTAGATAGGAGAAAGTTGAAGATTCTTGAATTGTAAATAGTTGACTAAAAACGTGTACTTCGTTTATGCAGTAACATAGTAACTTACTTTCTCACTGAATTTCTTTTACTAATGTGTAATTTGTTAATGCGAAACTATCTGACAGAATGAGAGTAACCTAGTTCAGTCCAATAAACAGACTTTTACTAATGATACTTGTCAAATAATCATTGCTAAACAATATTATTTCTTTTCATTAGGTGTTTAATATTAGGCAGTTGGTATATTACAGTTTTTACTGATAGTGAAATCATAGTTGGATAAGTTTCAGTAGAAACTTATTACTTTTAGTGTCTTTCAAGTAAGGATTTGGGTGAAATTGAATGAAAACAACACATAACAAACTTATTGATTGATTGAGTGAAACCAAGTATAGTTTACATGAACACGGAGAGATATTTCAAAATTACGAAGCTACCTAATGATTCATAAGTTTCAGTGGTTTGTGATGCGAATGATGCTGTGATCCCATAGTTTTTTATGTGTCTTACAAGTTCAATGAATCGGTATTACCTGTCACTGTTTATTAATATTTCACAATACAGAAAGCATGGTGTATTTAGGACACTGTATTATGAAAATATGGACAGTTTGCTTTAATATCAAAACTAATAATCTATGGAGTTCTTTAACGTTTAAATCCACTGAAAACGAAGAAACACTGAATATTTATTCCGTCCTTGTGAAATTTAAACATATCGAAAGTAAAGCATTTACCCTCTAAAAACAATAGATGATTGGGCAATATCGCGAATTGATCGAATTTAGACATGTACACAACTGCATGCTTACTTATACAAAGATTAAGCGTTCGCGGTAAGATCAAACATGCTGAGTTGAGTCACCGGTGGGGTTGTGAATGTCCAACATCAAGAATTTCCATACTAGGACAAAATAGGTTTCATGTGCTTACTGACTTTCGGTAGATGTTTAAATTAGGTTAATCCATGATTTCAAAAACCTCAGGATGGGAGATTTCCCTGTATACATATCGTTTATGGAACGCCATAAAATCAGATTATTGTCATGAAAATAGATCATAATTGGAAGGTTATTAATAATATTTTTGAAGTATATATGCATGCTACTATTTAAAATTGTTCAACAGTTTGAAGGTTTCGAATCACTGCGTTTTCTTAATCAATACTAGTAAGGAACCTAAGATATTCATTTTAAAACTGAGAGATTATGTCTTAAAAGATTGAATTTAATAAACCTTAATCCAAAATTATTTCTATTGAGATCTGATAGTCTATGAATACAAGTTTATTTCATGAGTTATGAATAAGCACTATGATCTATATTATTTCTAAACAAATAAGGCTTCATAAATCAAAATAACCAATGATTTTCATTGAATAAAAATAAAGAGAATTAAGAGAAAAATGTTTCCTTCACTAAAAAGTCATTTATATTAGCCGTACTTTATTATTCAGAAATCTTGGTAAATGAATGAAGTTTACGTTACTGAGGAAGTTCTCTGTGGTTTGACTTGACGAAATATTTGATTGTTAAAATAAATGGATAGAATGCTAATTTATGGATGAACACAAAATGTGGTCGAGTGATGGATGTTTGTAAGAATACATTATCGGCTCAGGCTCCGGAGTGATTTCGAATCAGTAGCTAGATTACTAGCCATATGAATAGTTTTCATGAAAGAGAATAACCTACTTATACACAAAATATGAACATTAGGATTTGGCGGCAGTATAAATGAACCAACGATAATAAAAGTAGTAAATCTAGAATTTCGACAAGGAATTCACTTATCCATATGGCTAAATAGCATGTCGGCATAGTAAATGATGTCATTTTACGACGAAAATCCAAATTGTAATTCTTAACCCCAACTACTAACTGCTAATCTTAAACTTAATTATCCATACTAATTGAGAAACCCCTTTTAACCATAGTAATTAAATGAATATTGTTCAGGTCACTTGAACCCTTTTCAAAAGTTGTCCATAAATGGTAATCACATTCAAGATTTTAGTCTACAAAGTCTTTGGTTGTAAATATGATTTCATTAATTCTAACATGCATATTGCAGTGATATATATTGTGACTTAAATGGATGAATATTTATTGTTGCCATACGTTGCCATACTATTCGTATGATAAGAATTACTGATTTAAAAATAAATCCTATCATTTCATTTCTATTCTATTCTCGTTTTATTTTCTCCAAAATTCATCTTTTCAAGGAATTTATTAGAATTTGGTTGATAGACATTGATGAACTGTAATAATTTGAAAAGATATTTAATTACTAGGCAGAGCTCTTGATACAGTTGGATAATCTTGTTCGATTCACAATCATTCTTCTTCATTTTTACTAGACCAACGTCTAATCAAGAGGTGTTGCAGCATAAGATTACTAGGTGGCAGAAAACTATGCAGTTGACCCTGAACAAGTTAAGACCATCGTCAGATGGCGTTCACTGAAAGAAAAGTTTATCATATTGAAGTATGATATTTACATATGATTATAATGATTAGTAAGTTATTTAACATAATAGATCAAATAAAGGATAAATTAAGGGGTTGACTTGGAGTGACAGAAGTTAGATTCAGGATTGAAGAATATTTTTCAAACGTAATGATAAATACTCATAACCATATTTATTTAATTTCAACATTTTAATCACATTTATTTAGTATTGAAGAAGTCAGAGATCATGTTGAAATTTTACATACATCTTATTTCGATTTGCTTATTATTGTTTTTCCCATGAAAATCAAATCACTTTCTCATATTCGATTTCATTAGCATTCTTTAAGTTTTCGTTCATTAATTGGAGGTCTCAGTTAATAGATATTATTAGGTTTCATCTAGTCCTTACTTAATTACACATTTTTAAATCTATCCATAGTCGGACATGGAATTTCGCCCAAGTATCTAACATCAGCTACCTTTAACCCAGTTAGTTTGGTGGTAATGTTTGCGTGTCCCAGTCCCTTACTTTCTGACATCTCAAATTGTATATTGACTGTTAGGACTAAATGTTGACAATATTTATAATATATTTAGTGTCGATTAAGGCTTTGTTGCTTCCGAAAACTTAATTACTCTTGAAAGTGTTGGTTTGTGAAAAAAACATATTTATTTTGCATTGTGAATAAGCATTTTGTTGATAGCTTATAATCGACATGACCTCTTCTGAAGTATTTAAAAAATTAAGGAGCAAAAACCTTTAAATAGTATACATAACTTTGTGCGTAGATCTCTTATTAGTATTGGTTGTAACATCAATAACAATCACTATGCATGGGTTTGAAGAATTGACTTGAAAAATATGTTGAAAATTTAGCTTGAAGTAAATCACAGACCATTTAATATTTACCCAAGTGATACTTGACCTGTGAAAACAGATGAATTGAATGTTGCAGTATAATCGCTAGTCAAATAAAATGTTCTTTATCCATTATGCAAGTGAATCAACTTTTAATTTATAAGATGATTCTGGAACAAGTAAATTCACATTAAATATTATACAAGCATTAAACACTATAGGTACATTTTCCTTGTTTCTACATGACGTATGTAACATCAGTGAACCACAGGTTTAATTGAAGGGTATGAACATAAAGTAACTGTCACGAGTTATTTTTCAAATCTTGTGATTAATCTATTTATATCTGCTATGTTAAATTAGCGACAGAATAAATGCAGACACCGGTTGTCAGTTTAAACTTTATTGGGCTTTATTAGTCAAACTTTAACATGTGGTAGTTAGATAAAATGTTCAAAACTATTTTAACTATTAACTAATAAGCAATAGATTCTGGTTTTCCTTCTTTTACCGTAATTTTAGCTTTTATTGTCAAATATATCTATCTGTCTAATCAAAACCGAATATTGTTCAGCAAATATAAAATATGATCACATAATAAATATAAGTATTCATGGTAAACATTATTAAATTTTATGTTCTTGACAATGATACTGAAATGTAGATTATGACTGATTTTCTTATTTGTTTTATTTCGGAGAATATCACATTTGTCTTTCTCACAAAAGTACAGATTCCAGGTAAACACTTGACTACAAAATCAAATTATCATATCAACGTTTACTAATTCTTACTAATCTGACAAAATTTAACGATAAGTAACAAACTGAAATATGATTCTAATATTATGTGAACCTGGATGAGTTGGTTTGTTTACTATTTCAAATGAAATGTATTCGAAATAGATACTCATATTCGATATATAAGTATTTGTTCTGTGCTGAATCCTTGAATTAAACACGTTTCGACAACAATTCTTTAATATGAATGGTTTTTAAACTAAAAATGAGAAATATTCACCTTTTTATTCAGCGGTCTATAAGTTGTGTAGTGAATATGAAGTTTGAAAGTTGTAGATTTAAATCCTTGAAATTGTTTATAACGAATGAGTTACTGAATCAATCTCTGATTTTTCATCGATTCTTCAGTTATTATTATGCCATTGACAAAAATTAATCTCGGAACCGTTATGAATAAAGTCATCAACAAGAAAGATAATTCTGTATACTTTCGAATAAATCCAGCAAATAGGCAACTAAGAAACATGTTTACTTAATGGCCAAAACACTCACAACACATTCGTTAAGTATTAGACATTATGAACATTAATACATAAGTACTCAAATTGTTTAATGACAATAAAATGAGAAGCAAAAAATACACTTGAAAAATCAATTCTATTCATCATTGTTTATTTCAAATGAGAAAACAAAAATCGAAACAGACAAAATAAAACAACAATAATGATGCTCAATAACTAATATTCAATTAAAAAAAGAAATAATGACTTTAGAAAAAAATTACATTTATCAATTAAGTTGCTGATTACAAAATTATGGAAATACTTATTTTGTATTTTTTTTTTAAAAAAATGATATGTGTATTTGAATATTTTTAGTCAGTAGTATATTTTCTTGTAAACAAAAATGTTCATACGTAGAAATTTATTGAATCCATAATTTGAAATTCCCGCTTGTTAATTTGATCAATTCATATTTAAAATAAGTCTATATTTCTTTGACAACATTTACTCTGTTCAATTATGTAAGCTAAAATATTCGAATATATTTATGCATTGTAATATAAAAAGAAAATTGATTATTTATGTTCTTTTTCTTAAAAAAAATTTATTTTAAACTATCACAATACTTTGTTTATGGATTTAATAATTTAATACAATCTCGTAAACGATCCACTTCAAGATTGATATGATCTAAACTACTTTCCAAACATGTCTAGAATGTTTTTGTTGTTGAAAGAAAAATGACAAAAAAAGAATAGACGAACAGAATATTAACATGATGATTAATAAAACAAAGAAAAAAAGAAAACATGAAATTTATACATTTTATCAGTTGCTAATAAACATATGATTATTTACAGTCAAATATATTTAAATAACCAAAATGTAAACAAAAATGTGTCTGTTTATAGTCGGCTAAAATACCCAGGTAGATTGTGAATGAATACTGATAATATTCAGAATATTGATCTAATATATTATTAACTTCACTGTGAGATCTGAGTCTAGTTATTAAATACTGAATGCACCGAGTACTAAAAAATTTAAAATTATTATAATTTTTTTTCGACGAAACTTGTTAATCACCAACAAAGAAATGTTGAAAGTTTTCACATTAAATACATAAATTGATATAAACATAATTATTTATATAAACTATAATGGATAGAAACATAGTTTCTTTGCGTGAATACTACTATTAGACACTCAGTAGTTAAAGATAAAAGTGTGCACGGCTAAATGCTAAAAAAAAACAAAAGTAATACATACGCATGCTTCTTACCTATAGTAATTTTCCGTAGCCGCAGAATTTAGTTTGTTGACTGAATTTGGGAACCTGATTAAAAATTTGTTTTATTGAACGTCTTTTTATATTCTACATAAATTACAATTATATGGCATAAAAAAGTTCATAGAAATAATCTGATCAGTGGTCTTTTTCATTGTTTACATACTTTGATTTGATAGTAAGTAGTCCAACTTTATCATTGGCTAGACTAGAACTCATTTGCATTCTAGCTATTATCGGAAAAATAACTTTCTGATATATTATTTTGTAGGCGTCTTCTAAACCGCAGAGGTATATTTGATAGTTTCTTAAATTTATCAGTGATTCATTCTTTTGATATTGAATGTGTTAGAGAACTTGTTTATATTCTATGTCAGTCTGTTTGATTACAAGATTCAGTAGTAGTATACCATAATGCTGAGGTAATAAAAATAAATGTAGCAAGATTCTAAAATTAAGGCCAGCTTAGCATTCATTTTTGAGAACCGCTTCGTTGAAAGTGACTTTATGTTGTAGAAATTACCTGATGTAGAACGAAGTCACTACATTCAGAGGAGTTCTGAATTAAACTTAATTCAAACGATTTACTTAATAATAATTCAAATTTTTGTCTTTTCTTTCTGTCAAAAAATCATTTCTTTATAAACATGTGAAATCTTAGTTTCTTTTTCATCGAATAAATACTTTAAACAAAAAAACCTACTAACATAGTTTTTAAACCAATGTAACATAATTTCATATTGTTTCATCAATTATATCAAACATTTTATAAATTTTGTTACTCTTAACTACAAAATCTTAATTTTAAAGGTTAATGAGAGTCATTCAATAAAATGACTTTTATCATGAGTATCAATTCAAGTATGATACTTTAATATGATTTTAATCATTAATTAAAAGTTTATCAAACCATTTATGTTTGTTATTTATCATTGGTGATGTATAGAAAATTTCTAATTAAGATTCATCAGCATTAGTAACAGATCACAAAATACGTTATACTTATTTTTTGTTTTTACAAACAGGTAACTCTGGAATATTCAACTATGATATTTTATACAAACTATTATTCATTGAATAAAGAATGTTTTTAAATTAAATTGTATTTTCAGAATGAGTTTAGTGGAGATTTCAGTAATTTTTAATAGTTGAAATCATGAGTCACCGTTGGATGTCAGCTCAGTAGTCTAGTGGTTAAGCGCTCGCGCGCAAGACTGATAGGTCTTGGGTTCGAATCTCGCGATGGGGGGGGGAAAATCGTGGATGCGCAGTGCTGAGATGTCCCATACTAGGACGAAACGGCCATCCAGTCGTTCCACGTTTTCCATGGTGGTCTAGTTTTAATTGACTCATGATTTCAACTATTTAAATTGTATTTATTGATGTTAAACTGTTTAGTTTTAAATTTGACAAGTGGAAATATATTTGAATTCATAATAAAATTCCTTATCTTAGAAACCTTAAGATTGATTCGACTTAAATAATTTGAACTTATGCTTAATCATAACTATTAGATAGGAAGTATAATCAATAATACAGGAATCAATGAAGCACAAACATTTATGTAATTAAGTTTCTATGAAATCGATAGTTAATAATTGGATGCAATACTTAGACACGATAATATATGTTGAAAAAAACACTACGAACTCTATGATAATGATATCTAAGAAGAAATACACAATCGTTATGCACACAAAATATAGAGTTAATGATTTAGTGAAAGAGATAATGAAGTACTTTAAACTGTCATACTCCAAAAATCCAAGATTTTTGATCTTTGAACTATATAAATCAAAAATTAGAAGTGTTAACAGTTTTTCGAACATACTCTAATCTCGAAGTATTGATGTGACATAGTACATATATAAATCGAAATATGAATAAACATACATCTAACAAGTTGACTTGTTACAGATAATTGATTAAGTGTGTAGAAAACGAAATCGAGATTTCATAAAACATACTAGAAGCTATTTAGATACAAGTATGATGATTGTAGGTGAAACTACATCTAAAATTCAGAACAACGATGTAGCCAAGTAGCGAATGAGATGTAAAAAGACTAGTATTTTGATATTTATTCGAATGAAATTCATATAAAAAGATCAGTGTGCATTAATCAATGAACAAAAATTAAAAATGGTGGATACTAGATAAAAACATTAATCGTCAGTTCATACTGCAACAATATTCTGCTTGTCACATATTCTTTAAACCGAGCTTAGGATAGCTGACGTGGTTCTGTGCTTTACTTCTTCTTGATGCTTGGATGAGACGTTACTTTAATAATCCAATACATAGAAGGTTTACGTTCAACCCACTAAAAAATAATCGTTGTTTTACTAGGTCCAAACAAATAATTATGAACGTTTCTTCAGATTATGTTTAAAAGTCTGAAGATACACAACTTAACATGTTTTCATTAATTATCTGTATCTTTATAAAACAAGTAGGAATTGTAATGTCCAGTTAAACTGTCATTACTTTGATTTAATATGTCAATCAGTATGAACGTTACGACGCGCAAACTAAATAACACGACAAATTTTTAATAAGTCACTGAAGTAAAATATACAAAAAGATTATTTAACTATTACATAAATAAATCAACGAGGTTGTCTAATATCACATCCAGATTATGTGACAACAAGTAAGAAGCATTTTTAGTAAAATGAAAAGTTATCGACTGTAAATAAGGTATAATATTCCTATTATGTTTATCCGTTTTTCTATTTATTTCATTACAATACAGTACTAAGTTCATAGCCCACGAGACGTAATTAAATGATTATATGCAACAACAGATGCACGAGAAGACGAACAGTGTGGCAGCAGCCTCAGCAGCAATAGGTCTCAATATACACAAAGGGAAAAGCAAGATTCTCCGATACAACACAGAATGCACCAATCCAATCACAATTGACGGAGAAGATTTGGAAGATGTAAAAACCTTTACATATTTGGGCAGCATCATTGATGAACAGGGTGGATCTGATGCAGATGTGAAGGCGCGGATCGGCAAAGCAAGAGCAGCATATTTACAACCGAAGAACATCTGGAACTCAAAACAACTCTCTGTCAACCAACACCAAAGTCAGACTTTTCAATACAAATGTCAAGATAGCTCTACTGTATGGGGCAGAAACCTGGAGAACTACGAAAGCCATCATCCAGAAAATACAGGTGTTTATTAACAATTGTCTACGCAAAATACTTCAGATCCATTGGCCGGACACTATTAGCAACAACCTACTGTGGGAGAGAACAAACCAGATCCCAGTGGAGGAAGAAATTAGGAAGAAGCGCTGGAAGTGGATAGGACACACATTGAGGAAAGCACCCAACTGTGTCACAAGACAAGCCCTCACATGGAATCCTGAAGGTCAAAGGAAAAGAGGAAGAGCGAAGAACACATTACGCCAAGAAATGGAGATAGACATGAGAAAAATGAACAAGAATTGGATGGAAGTAGAAAAGAAGGCCCAGAACAGAGTGGGTTGGAGAATGCTGGTCAGCGGCCTATGCTCCATTAGGAGTAACAGGCGTAAGTAAGTAAGTAAGTAACTGAAGTTGAGTTTTATTGCAAATAGACATTGGTTAGAAAACTGTATAAAGTCAGGGAGAATAGCATCAAAATTTTGAAACGACCAAAGACAGACCATTACTGAAAACCTAGAAACACTGTACGACCATTTCCTTCTAGCGTGAGACTTCTCAGCAAGTTGTATCTACGGAATTGCAGGTGGGGGTTGAACCTCGCAAGTTCGGTCTTGAGAGCGGATGCTTAACATCTAGACCACTGAAACGGAACCCAACGGTGTTAATATCTAATGTCAGATGATTTATGAACTAGGACAATCGTCCAGCATCGTCTTACTCAGATGACTGCCGCATATCTTACGCAATTGAACTGCACTAGTCAAGGCTTCTTAATGTGAATAGAACAACAACTGTGACACGTTCAAAGTGACCTTTCATAAGACCGTAGAGAATCAAGTAAACACATATACGTCAAATAAAACACAATGAATTCTTATCCACGAAATGTCATCTGAAACCAATGAGTCAGGAAAAAAAGATCACTATCATCGATCACCATCAATATTCAATAAGATTTGATAGTCGTCCGAAATTTCTCGACTATACTAATCTCATTTTTCATTATCATTTCAGATAATCATCTTTATGAAATGATTAGAAAAATGAGTCATAACTTATTTCACATTTTGAATTATAGAGTATGAATATATATATATATATATATATATATATATATATATATATATATATATATATATATATATATATATATGAGCACTCACAGATTTTAGTACTAAAGGAAAACCTTCAATAGCAACTAGAAGTAACTTTTAAAAATAAATAGTCTTGATAATTCTGTTTCATCTCACAAGAAGTCATAATTGCAAACTTTTGAGGAGTCCAAAACTAAGATGAAACAGTAATCAAATGGTGCACAACGAAAAAACTATACTTTTAAACTGAATTGAATCTATACTGGACCGCCGTTTTTAGATTCACAATTAGCACTTTGGATGCTCAAAAAACTATCTATTAAGCTAGAAAAACGGATTATTGTGAGAAATGAATTATACGAAAATGCTTTTTTTAAAATTTTTATATCATGTTTTAATGATCAAATAAAAATACAAACTCTAGTTTTGATTCCCTTTCAAAAACATTTTATTGAATACAACTCATGTGCATTAGTTTACCACTGATTTCCGGCTTTTAGTGACAGTACAAGACTGTTGTACATGGAATTCTTTTAAAGGAAGCTTCTGGTTTACATTTAAAAAAAAAATTTCCACTGTATAGATTTCATAAAGGAAAATATAAAACATGATAGCTTGAATATTGATTATAATATGTTTTCACTAAGTTGAAATTAACAGAACAAGACTAAAAATCATGCATTGTATGTTGGAAAACTATTAGCACAATAACACCAACAACAACAACAACTACAACTACTACTAATACTAATACTATTACTACTGTTAATACAACTACTAATACTGTTAATAAATGTAGTTATAATAGCTTCAGCTTTGGTATTTTACTACATTTTACCTTTTTTTTATAAGAAATATTCAATTCCTTGCATGATCGGCTTGAAACCAATTCATCCTTTCATGTTCATATTAATATCACCAATTAATTGTTAAAATTCAATTTTATTGTATAATTGATCATTCAGTTTATGAAAAAATTATGATTTTATCATTAATTATAAGCATTAACATCATCGTCATCATCATCATCACCACCATCGTGAATGTTAACATTCCCATTTTTCATGATAAATAATAATAAAATAATATTAAAGATAAATTACTCTTTTTTCAAAGAAAAAAATCAAACAAATACTGAACAGTAGTAAAAGAAACTGAAATGTGGGCTTTTTAATTAACATTTAAATTACATCACTGTTGATTTCGTTGTATTAGATTTTGACTAATAAATTATTCAATAATTTCGTTTTCAATGTTCAATAACGATATTATGCTATTACTAATCGACATCATTCATAAGAAGACCTTTCATAATTTATTTTAAACTATGATATTAATGCATATATATATATATATATATATATATATATATATATATATATATATATATATATATATATATAAGAAACCATATCACTTTTACCGCGAACAAAAATTACATTTGTCTTGAAATAAGGTAAGGTGAATAAATTAAGGAAAAATACTTGGAAAAGTATATGATACATATGATCATTGTATACAGATACATTCACTTCTCTGTATGCATTTTGCGAGAAATTCATGAAAATAACTACTTATTACATAACTAATAGTATAAATGCTCAAAATGATATTTTTTTCTATACCTTTTTATGGTTAATTGAAAATAGTGAACTAAGTGAAGAGATCAGGTCATGATAAACTATTTTAGGGGAAATGTAAGAAAAGTTGACAATTTTAATAGTATATATTGTATTAAAAGGTATCCCAATAAACTATCGTAAACTATAGTGGTAATTTATACATGACTGAAGCTTGCTTGACAAAAAATCTGTCATAACATCCTTAATACTCATATTCTGGACTATTTAGCTTGCAACAATGTGTCTTCACAAAACTGCCCATCCCATCGAATAACGTCAAAAAGGTGTTATATAAGCTTGATGTGACTTATTCTTTCTTTTACTATTTCACTTGTTGTTAGGTAACATTACGTTACAATGTGGAAATATAAGCGAGTTTTGGACTGTATTTGTCAAGAGGTGACTACCTGAAAATAGAGGAATTATCTTCGATAATTTTAATCATTTTTTAAAAAGTGAATTATCTAATAAACAGATTGGTATTCTTATAAATATCATTTCTTGTTTGATATCTTGCGTTTATTTAACATTCTGATTGTTAAAAGAGGATTCTTACAAATTTTTATCAAAGTTTTGAAGTCATTCATTTTAGTTGCAAAGATATATGATACCTAATCTTTTAAGAATAAATCTCATGAAAAAAACTTAACAAATAGCTCAGTTTCATGGATGATACACTTATACACAACAAAATCTTTAAGAACTAGATACAACGTTTAAAATGGCATTTTAAATATTCATATCCTATAAACTGAAAGGATAGATCAAAACAATATTCAATCAAATGTTGAATCAAACAACTTTTCAATGTTCAATAAAATTATATTGTACAGTCGTCAAAAATCAAACTCAAATCTAGTTACACCATTACATAACTTATTGATTTGAATATAAATTACCACTGATCTAAAGAATAAATTTCAAAACTGAATATCTGTTTATCAATTAAATGTTTACTTATAATATCGTCTAACGTTTATTTTTTAAAGTAAGTATTATTACAGCTACTTCACTACACTTTATAAATATGACCTAACTAACGTTACTTTACAATGATTGAGTAAAACTGAGCGTTTTTTTCTGAAAGAATTTCGTTTTTAATTCTATACGTAAACATTTATGAAGGGTATTTGGTTTTTCTGCAATTTTTACTATTTTCCATAAAAAGAAAAGAAATTTGAACTAAGAAGAACATTATGATTCAGTTAATAAATCTAATTATACTCTAACGGATTCCGCAATTACATCATAGAAATCTTCCATTCTTAATACTGAAATGACTAGGAAACGACTGATTCACTCACGAGTAATCTTTTTACAAAAGCATGTAAAGTTATCATGACGTTTCTATAATTTGTTTCAGTGACTTTTTGATTTAATTGATTAAACTGATCAAAGTAATTGTTTTTATAAATTAAATCTTAATCTCACATTACCTTTTCTGGAATTTTTAAATGATGTGATGAATATGACTGGGGAAAGTAAATTCGTTCATATTCGTTATCCATGCGATTGCCATGACGTAAATAATTCGCATGTTGCATATCTCTTAAACGACGATCTGAATGTGAGTGAATAATGAGAGGTTTTCGATTTACTTGACGATTCAGTTTTACAGTGGAGTAAGGTTTTGTACTTAAATTTTGACAAGATGTATAATAATCTCTTTCCAGTGATTTTAAACGTTTAGAATTATGTAAATGTCCAAAACTGGTACTTGGTCTAGCTGACGATGGTACAGGGTATAAATCGTACGACCTGTTTAGTGCGCATTCATCCAGATAACCAGAGACTGATGCTGGACGATGTCTATTAAATCGAAGGCTGTTAGTACTGAATACAGATGGCAATACAGGCTGATCAAAAACTGGGATAAAAAGAATTACGGTACATGATTATGTCAAAGGATAGAATTCGAACAATTTTAAACCAAATAAAAATTAATATATGTCATCAGTGTACAGCATGCCTTTTCCCTTACTTTCCTATTGTTAGTCAGTTTAGATTTAAGTGTTATCGCTTGTTAAATTATAGAAAATAGCAAAAACAAACAGTCTGACCGATGACAGTGGATGGACCAATATTATCTGGGAAGCAATTTACAGTTAATAAAATCTCCAGTTTTCTACTCACTCGGATATTACTAGTATTTGTACTCAAAGGAACATTATGAAGTTTGCTTCGAGAACTATTTTGTATCCACAATTTATAGACTAAATCATTTTAATTACCTTTTACTAACAATCATACTACTTTTTGAGTAATATAGTAGAATAATCAATTACTGTAAATATTAAATGTTACAGATACATTTACAAAACAGAAAAAGTGTGATTGTCCATTAGATTCTCAATCCAATTATAAATAATAAGCTCGAATGGCTCTTGAATCTTTTTAAGCATATTGCTGAAATTTCTGTTTGTAACTGGACTAATAAAAGTTAGTTCTCGCTAATACACCCTCTCCTTTCATTTAGAGTGCCTAAAAACTCCGCAATAATAACTCATAATATATATGGCCAATTTCACAGGTTTCTCAAACTTTCGCGGGAATAATCAATAGAGATAGCCTTTACTTAAATTCTATCCAGCTTCTTAAAGTAGCACAAATGTTGGTTAAATTTCAAGGAGTGCTTTTAGCAAATAAAATTTCATTTAACGTCTTTAAACTTACTTTTCTTATATGAATACTTTTTATGTGAATGACTGGTATGAACTGTTCTTCGTTTTTTTTCAGTTGATGGTGATCGCCCAACAACAACTTGTACTTGAGATCTATGTTTTAATGATTCATCTTCAGTTGATAAAGCATCTTTTTTTAATGACTTAATATGTTGATTAGGCGAATATTGATAATCGGATGCAATACTCCATTTTCTATGGTAATTATTTGTTGAATCTCTTGGTTGTATCTCAATATCCATATCATCTTGCCTAGTTAAATTATTTAAATCTACTAAAGTATCCGATAAATCATCCATACTTTTTTCAACTGATCGATGTTGTATTAAATGTTCTGATTGATGATGAATCTGTTCATCATTGCCAATTGTTGTTGGTGACAAATCAACATTTTGATCATCAAGTGAATCTTTATGATCCTGTGTATTGATATTATTTTCACTTATTTTTGTAGTTATTAAAGAGTCTGACATGTTTTTGTTGGACAAATAGCTTTGTTTTTTACCATCTAATAATTCTACTGATCCACAGACTTTGAATGAATCCGATTTTTGTGGTATATACGTATCAGAATCATCTAAATTTTGATTAATACCAATTAGAGTGTTTTTGTTCTGTCTTTCATCTATTGATGCAGTCATTGTGTATATCTTTTGGTTTCTATCTAATGAACCGAAGTCACTTAGTACATATTCAGATTCATCACCAAGTTGGGTATGAAGTCGACTTATGGGTTCATCTTTATGAGATGAGTGTCTGACAATAAATTGGAGTGAAGAAAAAACTAAATGAATTGAACAGACCAAAAATAAAATTACACGAAAATGTCAAATTCCAGTATTTTTCACACATACCAATTACAAACGATTCTTACAGAATATGAGCGATGATGTGTTACATGAACAATTATTTCTATTATATATCGATTTATCCTTTATTATATAATATATTAAAATGACACTTGCTAATAAGTTTAGAATTTATGTTAATTTAGATACTATGGGATAAGTAACATATAGACAGTGAGCTAAAATCCAGATTCATCAGAATTTATTCCTTGCTTTACCGTTTTTCTGATTTAAAAGAGCTAGAAAACTCCCAAGAAAGACTGTAATGTTGTCCTGATGCCGTGAGTAATGATTAATGTTATTTGAACTATATTCTATTGATAGGTTACTTTCTTTGAACAATTACCAGTATGTTCCATATACGTTATTCTCAACTTTACAAACAAGGTACACATAAAACGCTGTGGGGAATAATCCCCAAAATTTAGAAACCTTAACTGTTGATTACCAGAAAATTAGTTATGATCAATAATTTTTTAGAACTGTTTTACATTTATGAAATTAATCCAAATGTTCCAATTTACACTGAGCTGAGAATTAGAAAAAGTGGCTTTACTTACAATGTTATACAGGAATGTTTTATCATTTATACAAATTCGGTGTTTAAAAAAATTAGACAGATTAAGATTTAGATTGATTAAGTGATACCGTTAATGGTAGTTTGTAGCAGACTTAAAATTATAAAGTATCGGCTGACGTAAAAGCTCATATATTTCTTAACCGCCTGTCAAACCATTTTACAACACGCCTACTTAACTTAGCAAGCCTTGCTCAAATTATCTGTATTTACATCTCAAAATTTGTTTGTATGTGAGGAATGAATATTTTAACACTTGATAACAAGTATCCACAACAGTCTGTGATGTTAACCAAAAAAAAAACAACAATCTAATATTGAAAGTAGTAGTTACTGCACAGATATATAAGCCAAAGTGAAATATATTGATTATTTCTGATATAAACAAACATACAAGAATTGATTTTATTATTATAATATTCATTTATTTATATCAATAAAATTAATTATTCTTACTTTTGCCGATATGTGTATTCTGCTCGATTTTTTAATTTATGCAAAGTTGATTCTAAATGTATAATTTTTCTAGAAAGTTCATTTTTTTCTAATAATAAATTTTGTAATTGACGATCTTTTTTGGCATGAGCTCGTTCTAAAATTCTTATATCTCTTGATAATGTATTATATTCATCTTCAACACGTTGAAGTAAATTTGATAAGTTTTGTTCTCTTGTTTCTGATTCTCGTAGCTAAATTTTATTAAAATAGTAAAAAAAATTCCATTAGAATTTCTAGTTTTAAACAGTTAACTAATTGATGAGTACAGATATTTACAATAACATGATTGTTATAATCAGGAGATCTTTTTTATTACAAATAGAAGGAAGACAATTAATACATTTCTTTAAGTATATAGCAATCATGTTAGTCAAGTGTTTATGTGGAATATAGTATTTCGATCTTGAAACATTTGTAAATCTTTTGCATAAAGTAACTTATTGTTAAATCAATGGCAGACTCTATCAAGCTAATCTTATTCAAAATCCAATCACTAATCAGAGTCCAGGAAACCTCTGAAAATTTATATCTTGTAACATATTTTACTCTTTCATTTTATCGTGTAATAAACGTTTCTCAATCATCAATTTTTCTTCCTGTTTCTATCCATTCGATTCAACAATTTCGTGGGTGACTTGGCCAAACAGACGTTTAGAGGCCAGAAACAGCAGGAAGCTTGATTGTATTTAAGTAGTAATGCGGTGTGGGTTACTTATATCCAAATAAGTAGTATATAACGGCGGTGAGGTATAGAATGTATTTCAGTAGAAGATCGATAAGAAAAAAACGGAAACGGAACGCAGCTGGTGTGAAAATGCATAAACAATAAAATCTGAGCTGATGGACTGATATTCGCAAAACGAAACAGTGAAGTCTGAGACGATGGATTGATATTTTGCAAACTAACTATTTACTATATGGTTCTCAGATTTTAGTGAGATGCTCTGTAATCTCATGACTAATACATTCTATTGTCTCCCCTCGTGTTCTTGTTTACTACAGTAATGTTAATTCAGTAAGACAGCATGTTTCCCTTATATTTGTAAATGAACAACACTCAAAATTATCCATATGCCATGACCATGATAGTTAAGTTATCTAAGAGAGAAGAAAGCACTTGAGAGAAATAGCTGAAGGTATCGAATTCACACTATTCCGAATGTCGGAATGTAGTTTTCCCTATTATAGCGAGAAAACTGCTACCTTTAATTATCTGGTTCGAATCTTCTTCAAGGTATATTATTGTAGAAGTCTAGATATTGGATACATATTGAAAAATACAATAAGTTTCTAACAACTAACGTCAACATATTACAACAGTACTTTTTGAGCAAAACAATAATCTGTTGAGGTATTTATATGAGGTCATCTTAGACACATATAATTGAAATAATACACAAAGTTGGTTTAAAAATACCCTTTATTGTGTTGTGTAAAAGTGGTTTAGAAAAATTCATTAGAAATGTTAAATTTTCAGCCACATGAAAATGCATAATAACTGAAGTATTCAAATGCAGTTTTTCAATAACGATTACTGTTTGAGTTATATGTTCCTCAATCTTATGTCCCATATTATCAAGTCTATAACCTCGTTTTTTTTCTCATCTTCATATTTTAATGTTCTAAATGTATGATCAGTGTTTTCTTTGAAATGTAATAAATACGGTATAAGTTAAATAATTCTCATAAATGTTGTTTTCTTGTTATATTACCATAAATGATTATCTTCATTCAGATTGAATGAGTTTTTTTCTTATTCATTTCAATCCAAATACAAAATCATTTTTTAAAAAAAAGTACTCACAACCAAAAATTGTGATAAACAAAAAATAATGTCACACTCAATTTGTAATAATGTTTATGAATTCAAATGTTTAACGTCAGATAAATCAAATTACATATTTCTTTTGATGTCATAGAAATCTTAAATCTAGATTGTATATATTTGGTAAAGAAGAATGTTCGAGAAAATGATAGGTTCATTAAACAATATTAAACATAATGTACTTTATTAAATGATTAATAGTACTTTAAGGTAAATCATTAATACTTATTCAAAATAAATGAATTTAACATTCGAACAAATGTAAATTAGATTTTAGAAAGAATATGTAAAAAAAAGTTCTAAAATAATTTCATACTTGGGTGAATAGCATAAATTATCAGTGAAATTTCAATGTTTCTTATTAATTTAAACAATTTTAAATATTTTTTAATACAGTAATATAGTTAACTTTGTAATATTGGTTTATTTTATACTTTGATTCTTTGTCGAATTTTTAGTGTCAGTGAATGTAGAAAACGTTATCTTTTAGTGAGATATGATATTGACAACATAGTAATAATTAAAGTATACAACAAAAATGATTGTTTCAAAACCACTTAAAACATCCGAAATAAGAATATCATAAGTTCATTAGTATTATGCACTGAAAAGAATAGATGTTAATCAGATGTTTATTCCTGAACACCTAACTTCAGTGTGCCAAACACTAATTTATGTGGTGGACTATCTTTCATTCTTACAAAATATAAACGTTTACCGTAGTTGTGTTGTAATCACGAATAAAGGATCCTGACAGAATGGTTTACATGATAATGTTTAGAATCACTACAAAGCTTCAATGTCTCTCGTCAGGATCAACCACGCAAAAACAAAATGTGCGTTTACGGTGTAGCTACATTTATGAATGTGAACTGATATTGATCTAATTTTATGTGACGCCAGACAGTACATTATGTGTTTTTGTTGGTGAATTCCCTAAATTTGCTGTTACCGCCTTCAATGGTTCATTTTTAATTATTTGTGGTGATTTTAATTCATGTGATGCTAGCTTTTTTTTCGTCACCAGGTCACCAAAATTTACTCAATATTCCTTTTTGTTCGGATGCTCATTTGGAGTCACTTTTCATTACTGACGTGGGAATATATGTGACTCTTAAACGTTCTCCGTTGCCTAGTTCTGATCATCATATTATCCGTGTTCTATTTTAAATTTATGACAATCTTAGAAAGAGTACACTCTTACATCAGACAAAGAAACTTAAATATAGTAACCACTAAATAGAAAATACCCTAAATCTGAAAAACATATTTCGTATAACAAACTGATATTTATTTACAAATGACTTATTAGAAAACACTGCTGATGTTATCAAATATTATCCCTAATTCCGCTTTGATGCTTCTTGTCTCACTGAGACCACTTTTGTACGTTTAGGTCGACTTGAATTTCAACAACTAAAGCGATTACGGAGAGGAAAAGGAAGAATGTACACAGAGAAAAACTTTAGAAGATCATATCAGTCTCACATGTTGGTGTTGATCTGCATTGTAACATAGTGTTCAAATCGGAAAAAGGCAAGAAATATGTTTGGTGATTTGCCATCTTCTATGGAAAACACTTGCTGGGTATATATATGATGTCATTGTATGTGAGCCAATTTCCCCATTTTCAAATCCTCTAGAGATTAATGAGTTTTGTCTCATATTGTACTATGGTCTGCTTTTAGTGGTCTCACACCTAATCTTTATAAATTTCAAGATATTTGTTTTAGCTTGAGACATTAACAGCACTTAAAAACCCCGTTAGACTCCCATCACATTTGTACTACTGGCGATCCTGTAATAAAAATAGTGTAAAACTCCTTTTTCTTCATGTATGTTTTCTTATGATCTCCCTTGTTCTTCTTCCGTTCGACTTATTATGCAAAGAAACTTCACTTTACCGACTGATATATTCCCACATATTAAAGCTATTATTTATTGCACACAATTATGCGTTCACGAACTTTTAAGAAAAGATTTCTCTGTGTTCCTGATAGTGCTAAACGCGGCTAGAGGATGTATCTTGAATCTTTTAGAGTCATTATGAACAGATATTTAAAATCTCGAAAACTCCTGGAAATTATTATCTTATTAGATATTAACGATCCACTCCATCCACATCTTTCCATCTGTATATCTTCTACCGGAACAAGACGCCGATAGATTAGAATCTATTACCTTAATCAAATGTATGAAAGCTCTACAATACCGTTTCTAGCAAATATACTATGTGATGAATAAGTTGTAAGTGCTGATTAAGTCAACAAATTGTATTCTTAAAGATATTGCTAATTAAATGTTGTAAAGATCCTTATATTCTTGAAGAAATTTCATTTAAATCCGTGCAGTTTAATTAGTTATTCTATATGTGTGAAGGTTTCGATTGTATTTTATTTTTGCAAGAGAAACTTATTAAAATACTTTTTGCTATACATTGTCTATTGTTCTAAACACATAATGTTCAATAGAGCCATCAATAATAATAATGACCGAAACTTGATAATATCACAAATTTTCCTGTTTTCATGATATTTTTCCTTAAAAGTATTCCTCATGTAAACCGTGAAACATAATTATCCTTCCATAATTGTGATTATTCTTGCAAGTTGTAAACTTATACAGTCTTCATTCTATAATAGTAAACTTACACTTTGTAAAAAGTAATCACGTTCTTCCATAGCTTTCAAATATTCATTTTCACTTTGTTTTGCATTAAAACGATAATCTTTAACTTTTCCATGTAAATTATGATAAGATTTTTCTAAATTTGTTGTTTTCTTTGACCAATAATCAGCTGTTGCGCGTACATCACGGACTTCTGCTACAAATAATTTTAATAAACTATTGAAGAAGAAAAAGAAAAAAGTTTTACCTGATTAGTGTGGTTATGATAAGAATGATAAGTGCTTTATTCTACATTATAAAGTTGATTCTTAGCAAAACAATACTGTATTAATATAGAATACAATTTATTAAATTATCTCACTTGTAACTAGTCGAAAATATCCTAAAATCTTTCCTCGATCAAGTTTACGTCACTTAAAATATGGATCTCGATTTATTCTCTTCTCATTTCAACAATAGAAAAGATGAAAGTGTTTTTAATCCTATACTACTTAATATTTACGATCAGTATGAAAGTATATTTTAGGATTCACAATGATAATCATTGTGTTGTTTAAACATATATAAAGCAGAAGAGTTAATTGCAATTTATGTAGTTTTAAAATAGTTGAATTAAGTGTTTTAACAGCTTGAGAGACAATTTTCATTCATAGAATTCATGTAGGACTACATGTTAATAAAATGAATGAAACACATAGGTAGATACATTTTCTTTTCAATAAAAACCATTTAACTGTCAGCATCATTATCGCTATCAATTTAGACAAAAATGAATCGATAACAATGATATTTGACTCCGCTTTAAAAGCTTTTTACTATTTCAAACTCAGTCACTTGAATCCAGTTTTGCATTTGACTTACTATGAAATTATGAGTATGTGATATGTAAAACCTTATTTCGAGAACAAATCAGCTTCCGGCTGAATAGGAAATTAGAAAAAGATGTTGGAAGTGGATAGGACATATATTGCGGAGATCAAACTTCATCACAATCTTGAAGGGAAACGGAAAAGAGGAAGGCCAAAGAATACACCGCGTCGAGAATCGGATGCAGATATGAAAATGATGAATAGTAACTGGGAAGAACAGAAAAGGATTGTCCAGGACAGCGTTGTTTAGAGAATGTCGGTGGACAGTCTATGCTACTCCGTGAGGGTGACAGGCGTAAATAAGTAAGTAAAGCCTTATTTGTTACATATTCACTTGTGGATTTATGGTGAACAGAATGCTAATGGCATTGTTAACTGGCACTCGAAAACTTGTAAGCATTTAATCTACACTTGTATGATTAGTGAATATTGTTTCATTGTAATGAAAGTTTCAAATGATATGATAATATATAAAATAATTTATTACCAAATAAAACCTTTTTAAGTTTAATCGATTTGATGATATACAACGAAAATCATGTTAATAACCCCCAAGCTATACATTTGAAATAATTTCAGTGATTTCAACCATAACAATCACAAATAATGTTCTCTCTAAACTTATTCGATTTCTGTCAAACTATTCGTTCTAATACTAACAAATATTCATATAAATTATTTCGTAATCGAATTAAATTATAAAAGAAATTATGTAACTGGTACAATCACCGAGTTTTTATTCTACAATGTTTAAGAGAAAACGTCAGTCCAAAATATCTGTTGATCAAATCTCTTGACAAATCTATTCGTTTTGTCAAAGCGGTGGTCACAGCTGCGAGAACATTTTAGAGACCGTATTCACGAAGCTAATATGAATCTACTATCACTGAGTTTAAGGATTGGTAAGATTGTTGACGTCTCGTCCGTTATCAAATCGAAGGAAATAGGATCCAATGTCAACGATTTTTTTAAACGCAGGGAATAATTTCATCATCAATTGTCAAAACCGCGGCAGATAAGGAGGTTTGAAAAAATGCTGAAACACTCATCAAACCACAAAGTTCAACAGACTGGAGATAAATCAAACACATCGGACATCAACAAACTGACCATTAATTTATCAGATAGAAATCTAAGTACCAATGAAATGTCTTTACTTAAAGAAGTCTTAATTTCATTACAAATAGATCACAATTATCACCTTCCAATATTATACCTGCAATTAGAATCTCTTTACTGACGAATGATCTGGGGAATAAAATAGCGGCCACTTTATTAAATTAAAAACTACACAATTCTAACCTAACTAAAATGATTTATATCCAATAAAACAGCTGAGAAACGATAATACAATTAACATTACGAGAGCAGATAAAGGTAATGTGACTGTTATTATGAACAAATCGGACTACGAAAAAAAAGCCAGGAAACATCTCAAACATGACCTATATAAATTAATTAGAGAAGCGAGACGTCTGACTAAACTTATTAAGCTTACGGCTGAAAATAGCGAAGTTCTACAGTCGGTTAAGGTAAAACTAAGACCATTATTTTGGTTCATATTATATTCAAAATGTTGTGGTCTTTATAAGTTCTATAGACTACCAAAGATTCACAAGAATAATACTTCACTAAGACCAGTGATTGATTTTACAAATTCGCCGAAATATAATCTAGAGAAATACATAGCTGTGATATTCAAACCATATGACTAATTGGCTAATCATGGAATAAAAAACTCTACTGAATTCAAGGATAGTTTTCCAAAGGGAGTGTAGTGAACAGAACACAGATGGTGACAATTTAATGCATTTATTACAGAGTTACTTGATAAAATAGAAAAACCATATAATAAATTGTTAATTTGCAAAATATTAATCCATCATATCAAGCTGTACTGTTTCTGTTGCAAACATCAATCCACTGTCTCACGTTTCATTGTTCTTGCGTTTTCTTACAAATTGCATTGTGTTCTCGCTCTTCCTTTATTGATTTTCCCCATCTTCTGCTGCCAGACATTACGTTTTTAACTTGCGTCATATACTACTTACATAAATATAAGTAGAACGCACCACAGAAGGATAACAGAATGTTGTCTATGAAGTTGGAAGAATATAAACAATGTTTGAAAAATTACCCTATATCCTAAGTTGATCTGGAGAGACTTGAAAAGAGGTCGGTGATGGCGTTGCATGCGTTAAAAACAGTACATAAGATGAATTTCTAATTGACTAAAATACTTCAGTAAGGTTTTGGCACACATAAAGTAAGACTGACAGCAGAAGCGCTGTATTTAGGGCTAATAAGAACAGGCTGAAAAGAAAATATTGTATTCAACTAGCTACCATCTGGCAAATGTTCATTAACATGTAATTTGAACCTATCTTTATTCAACCTTTTTATTTCATATGCTTCGTTATTCTGATATTTTAGCACTACAATTATTTATATGATGGTTCTCATTTTACATTCACATAGACAGTTGAAAAACAATTTCAACTCGCACTTTTACTTCATGTAAAACAGATTCACACCTAACATAAACTATCAATAACTCAAACGTACACATACATTCACAAACACAATCATTTATCCATTTCTCTTCACACTGTGAACCTTTTACATGTTTATCATTTAACTGACTCGTGTTATCCTATTTACAAAAGTCAACATCTGAATATGATTAGATAAGCACAGTAAATATGTGATTTGATTGTTAAGCTATACGTATTCTTTGATATTTTTGATTTTGCTTATTATCCTGAAGAAGTCCAAGCAAGTTTGCTGGACAAAACTGTTGAATTATTTAAAGTCCAATGGATGAGATTACTTCAAATATAATTTCCATAAATAAAGGAAAAAAATTAAGGTTTTGAAATTTGCAGACAATCTATATTTATGATTAAGTTTAAAATCTAAAGTTTGAACATCAATTTTTGTGGTAAACTTAAGAAGATAGATTCGTTAAAAAAAGAGTTCAGTTTTAAAAATACTTTTAACAGTGGAGTCAATCGAATATGCTTAACAAAAAATTACAAGACTTGTTAATAAGATCTAACAATCGTGAAGTAAATACGTAATTTTCAAAATGTCCATCGATTGTCTCATCATGACTCAGACTTCATTGTTCTTGCATTTTCATACAAACTGCATCCTGGTTCCATTCTTTACTGTTCGATCCTCTTGTCTCTCTGCTGCCAGACCTTCTGTTCACGACTAACATCATACATTATTTATGCCAATATAAGTAGCACACACCACACTCCGAAGTTTGCAATTTCAAATATTCAATGAGTTTACTTTCTCTACCTATCAGGTAAACTATTGATATAGTAAGCGATTAAGTCATGACAATGAGATATTTTTAACTACTCTATGCAAATATTTGATTACTACCGTGTTACACAGACCTATCAATTCACATTGGTACAACTAACGTTTTTATTTTGTTCTCGTTTCCTTTCTTTATTATGACTAATATTTTTTTCAATTTAATATTCTGATAATCATTATTTTCTATTAAATGATTGACATTATGATAATTTTCATTGTTTATCTCATTACATGTTGGCAACTAACTAATTTCATTTCTTTTATTTAAATAAATTAATAAAGATTTTTCATTGAAAATCGAATCAATTTAATTCTTTTTTCTTTCTCCTTACTTTTCTTCTTTTTTTCTTTGCTAAATAAACTTCATAATTTTAATTTATTAAACATTTTTTATTAATTACTCATTCTATTAAGAAAAACTATTTTTCAGTGCAAATGTATTAATGTAACTAGGTAGGTAAATACGTTTATAGGTTACATAAACAAGTAAATGATTGGTAATATGAATTTTAAACAAACAACAATATAAATGGATAATTACTAATATTAATCATTTTCATTTAATGTTACAAATACAAAATACGATGTTTTATTTGTTATGATTTGTAAAATTATGAATTAGTAGTATAGAAGTATATGAAATTAAAAATAAACAATTCATGGGAATTTATACGAATATTCGTCAAGATTAGAACGAATAGTTTGACAAGAATTGGGCGCCGAGTATAGAGAAGTCATTCTTTGTGATAATTATATTTGAAATAATCTCAACAATTGAAATTTAAATAATTCCAACGTTTCGTCCAGACAAGTTAGCTGGATTTTAATTTGAATCGTTGAGATTACTTCAAATATAATTTTTAGACATAATGAATTCATGGGAATGTTTATATAATTTTTTTTTAAAGAATTTTTATGTGAAAAGATGATAAAGTTTTAAAAAAGAAGTTGATCATTCATATAGTTTATGAATGTGTTAAAATATTGAGTTGATGTTAATCATAATCCTAATTAAATGATTTCTAATTAAGAAATTTTAATGATTTCATCAACTATCCTCTCTTCTCCTCCACATTAACGTCACCAACTGTCGGGTAGCAACAATAGACATTACTGTCTAGGTTTCTTTGGAAGTTATTTTTTTCACATTATTATTAAAATTACTTAAATGTTTTTACATATTATTCATATACTTTATGAATGATCTATTTCTTTTTTATTTCTTTACCATATACGCATATAAAAATTCTTAAGAAATTATATATGCATTTCCATGAGTTTGTAATATTTATTAACACGATTTTACAAGTCACAACGAATAAACATTCCTATTTGTATTTATAACGCCAGATGAGAAATAATCGGGAATACTTAATTCATTTATTTTTTATAAAAATTCATTATGATTAAAATATTTAGTTGATAATATGACTAAACCACTAGAAAGTTGACTCAAACTAAGTCAATTTATTTATCCCCTTTGACATGTTTTGGCCTATTTTTCATGTGTTTACTTTTAAACGTTACTAAAGGCTAATAATTTGACTTTGCTTGTGATTGAATACAAGGAAGTTATATCTCTAGTAAGTTCTGATAAGGGTTCTCATAGTAAACATAAATACATCATTGTAGACATTATATTTATTATAACTACAGGTTCAGTAAACAACTCCGTTCCAACATTCATAACCGTGCATTACGTTTGTGTAATCAATAATAAGTGCTTTATTAATGAACAACAATAAAGCAAATAAATATATGTTATGTGATTACTTTAAAAATAGCATTGGCTCTAATAATAATAATAGTGAAAATAATAATAATATGGAATTTAATCATTTGTTCACATCCAAACATTACTGTATTGAATTGTTTGTTTCAAACTTTATTTGAGGATGTAACAATGATTTTATCATTTTTCATTTAAGATGAAACAGTGTAGGCAAATGTTTCAGTGTGAAAAAGCCAATTTGTAATTACTTATCGTTAAGCTATTCTATTATTCATAAGCTCATTATCAAGTGAAATAATCCTAACAGTATTACAAGGAAACATGGTAGAATTCACTTGCTATTGTGCATTAATTTTCTCTTACATGATCAACTTATTCAACATAATATTTAGTATCATTTATATTGTGTCAAGTTTTACATTTTATTCAGTGAAAAATTTGTATGTAAAAGATTTCTTCTCAATATATTGAAGATTTCAAAACACTCGTGAAAATTCGACGAAATCTGTTAATGCTTTAAGTTATTAGATTCATTATATGCACTAACTAGTTGGATATTCTGTTGTGTCATTCAGAAATGTTTTTTTTCGCAAGAAAAGCTGATTATCCACAATCGCTTGTCTGTCTTAAAGATTATAAAATCAGTTCACTGATGAAAGTTTAACCAAGAAGAAAGGATGTGGAATATATTAGAACATCTAATACTGTATTTAAGTTAGTGTTTTTATTCAAGAATGATATTTGTTTTAACTACTGCCAATTGCTCACACAAGATTTATTTCGAATACTGGGAACAAATAAGAATATAGCTACTGGTTTTCCTATATCTTATAATCCATCTTTTACATATAGTTACTGTTTCCTGCATATTGTTGAATAAATTCATAGAAATGGGTTTAGAAGACTCATTATTACAGAAACAAGCGTTTTTCATCAATGTGTAATCTCTATTCACAGAGTTTTGTTCCGTTTTGTGCATATCTATTTCACAAGTGACATCAAAAAATGCTTAAGAAAGCTATATTGAAAAGAAAGTGCCTGTGTGATGTCATAAGTGATCCCAAATGAAAACATTAACTTTCTTGGAAGAGTATTATGAAAATCAATTATATGCATAAGTCCTTAAATGACAACAGCAAAGGATGAATACATAGCAATTTGCAGTGTAGCTGTTAATTTTATAAGGATATTCCTCAGTAAAGTTATATTAATAGTCATTGAATAGTTAACGTTTATAGATACCGAGTTTTCTGATACACATACTCAGTATGCAGTAAATCTAGATATCAGTGGTAAATACTTACATAAGAATTTAATGAAAGTCACGAAAACGATTTAAACGTTAATTCAAATATTGAATTCGGTATGTGCTTATGGGTATACTTGGCCAATAATTTATGTGCTTTGAGAATCAACGTAAGTTACGTGAACGCTTTGGATGGTTTGACCATGATAACCAATAACATTACTTTCTTCTGTTCCAAGCAAGTTTATTATGTAATAAATGTACTTTAAATTTATCAGCTTAAAATTAAAAACCATTGAATTATTGGTATAGATTTTCGGCTCACATTCATAACGTTGCGGATTAAAATCCCATTCCATCTATCTAAGTTTAAGACGTCATTTGCTATCACCATTGCCCATCTAAACTGAGGCTCAAAAAGTGCAAATTTTCGTATCTTAAAATTGCCATTACGATTGAACTTAATTAAAAACAAATAACAAATTTACACCGCTTTAACCAGGCAGCTGCGTAATATGCAGTCTGACGTTTGATTTCAGTCATATTATATTCCTTGATCAGTAAGATAATCAGATTCATGTTTTCATATTAAAATATAAGTATTTAGACTAAGACGTTTTGAGAATATTGTATGAGTATAAACTCACTTACTTTTCAGCCTCTTTTACACAGGATTCCAATTCAGCTATTCTGCGAACCATTATTTCTTCTGTCAATTTATTATTATTTTTATTATTGATCACTTGTTCCCATTGTCTTGTTGCTCGTTCACAGTTCCGTTTAAATTCGTCTAATCTATTTAAGGTAGGTGTAGTTGATGTGTGAATTACCCTAACATCTTGTGGTATACGTCGTATTTTAATTGGAACACTGATTTGTGGTCTTGATATACTTTCATAATTATTTGTTTGAGGCACATTACTCTCGGGTGCTAATTTAGTAACCGTAGATAAAACTTTATGTGATGTCAAATTACTGTGACCATTGATATTTTCATCCGATTTTTTAGGTAAATTTTCTACATGATGATGATATTGATATGAACTGCAAGAAGATGAATAACTTGGGTATTTATTTGTTACACGTGTCTTAACATAATCAGAAAAGTCCGGTGGTGATGTAGGATAACCAGCTGATGAAACAGTATCAAAGTAAGATTTGACAGACTTCTCTTTAACTTCTTCAGTTTCTGTAATGGATGATCGTATGATCTTTTTTAGTGGAGGACCATTTGCTTTGGATTTTGTATCACTTGTTGGTGTGTTGTCTGACATTGAAACAAGAAAGAATAGAATACATAGAAAATAAGTAAAAACTATTATCAAGTTATATTACCTTATCTAAAAGTTTTAAATATGAGTAAAGGATTAGCGATATTCTTGCATACGTTTCACATATCTCATTTTAAAATTATTGTTCGATTTTTATCAGTTATTTATCATTTAAATATATATAATACCCACAAATATTACTTAAAGCTTTACAAGAATTGTCATCCGACTATAAAAAACCAATAACAGTGGATTTTTAATTGTAAATTTTGATTTTAGCTTACAAATTCATTTATAATATTAACTGCAGACCGTCGTAATGACTTCAAATCGGGTCTTTTTTGTCACCAATTTATGTCGACGCTAATACACTAACCTTAAAGTATTTAAAGTTAAGATGTGTGTAAAATGAACCCCGTCAATAGTTATGATGAAATTAATGAAGTTAAGACGCTTGTTTTTCTCTACTATTTATATATATTTATCGTAGATTCATGCATTTTTGAAATATGCAAATTGATATAATCAGTTATTTGTAGATATTCTTAAGGAAATGAAAGCCATTTGTAAGTTTTAATTAACACTGTTCGATAAATTACAGCCATTTACATTGTTGTTATCGTATAGAAGCGCAGTTGAGTAATATGTCCTTGTCTCAGTTACATATTTCATAATAATTTCGTCTGTCAATGTTATGTATCAAGATTCAAGTTTTTTCTGTGGTTTAATTATGACAGTTTTCACATGAAAGTATCTAAGACAATCAACTACATAAGTGTAGTATGATAGAACTACCAACTTTATAAATCAAGTCAATATTTACATATGTATATCAATCTTTCACATAATTTACGAGTCTGATTTTTTTAAAAATTTAAGCATGATTTTCGACAAGTTTACTAAACTACATTAAGAAATCTAGTTTTATTATTAAATGATATATAATATAAATACTAACATGCACAATATCTGTCATATTATAAATACGCATAAAACTCTCTACATCACTTTTTCTAGTCTCCACAATAATATTGTCAAAATATATATGTAACATTTAATTTGTTATTCCATAAATCAAACAATATTGCTGAATTATATAAATATAGAACATAAAACGTTTCATAGAGTTTCTTTTCTTATGAGGTTTATTATTGCCAGAAAATGACTATTGTGAAATTCTATCGAATATATTGTGATTAACGAATAAAAACCGATAAATTAGTACTTTTCATCGAAATATATGTTTACTACAAGAAACGAAATATTAATTTTGAATAGGGTAATTTATAAGTAAATTTAACGCTCATCTATTTATGAATTCCATATCTATGAAACTCAATATGTTTATATTAATCTATTTTTATTTTGATTTATACAAAAATGAAGGTTTATTTGGAAACAATCATGATGGTAGAGATTCAGTAACTCATGTTATATATATTTATGACTACAAATGAAGGATGTTACCAATTATTTAATTAATCAACATACTACGATACTGGTAAAGTATCGAAACTTCCAAATATATAGTCTTTAACTTGATATAATATTGAATCATGGATAGTAATAAAAAGATTGAACAAACTATGTATAAGTTAGTAATCTTGTCAGTAAAAAAACAAAAACAGAAACATTTGAGTGAAATAAAAACCAAGAACTAAGTTTCTCCATTAGTATTCTATGTTATTTAAAACATAAACAGAATTGTAGTTCATAGGAACGTTATAAACTGACATTCAAAATGATAATACGAAACAGTACGTAGCATTATAGAATTTCATTTTCCTAGCACAGAACTCATTACTAGATTATTCTAACCGACCCAGAATCTGCGAGTCGCTCTGATACTGATTAATCCTTGAACTACCGAGCTGAAATTTCTAGGTTTATATCTACAAACTCAACTACTTGACTCAAACCTGTAAACTGTACAATGGTTCACATCATTAATTATATAGTTTTATACGTTCATAAGTGTTGTTATAAATTAAACCGTTACTCAACTATTTTGTGTGATACATCATACTTTTTATCGAATATATATGGCAATATACCTATTTACAGAAAAAAATAACTATCGGATAATTTTTTATCTATCTGAAGATCTCTTCTATTGATTTTTAGGATAATTAAAATCTGATGCATAAACACTTTCTTAAAATTAGAACGACCTTTAGTTCAACCGATTCAACATGGAATTTTACTTCACAGATGAAATCATCAAAAATATTTGATTTTAGAAATGTTTTATTTTTTGGACATCGACTCAACTAGAAAGATCATGGATCTGACATATAAGATATTATACTATAAGCTATAACCATTAACAATCCGTTTTTGTCAATATTTATATTGTTAAGTAACTCTTTAAATGAATTCATTTAGAAGTTATACCATAATATCGACATTTCATCATATTTGTGTAATGTGAAGTTATACCGTTTACGTTTATTTGTTTTCTGTCAATATTATTTAAATAAACCTGTCAGTAATATCTGATTATGAACTTATTAGATGTGGATAAGAGCTTTCTTTGTATTAAACCGAAATGCTCTCTGTAATCTCCCTATAAAAGCTACTGGGAATTTCTGTCGTTATCCATTTTGGCAACTCATTAAATTTACAATTGATTTGCTACTGAGTAGTGATTAATAAAATGTTAGTCAAGTCATGATTAGTAGTGGCTAGGTTCTGTCGATCAGTTATAAATGTGACTAACACACTAAGTAACTCGAAATTGCGTGCACCATGTTGTGATGGTCGTTAGGAAACACAGAATATCCTATTTCGAGTCAATTAAACTAAACTCTATGTTGTAAGTTGATCGATTGGATCTGATCAGCATTTAGAAGTAATTGGTGAGTATGTCATTTGTTATTGGTTGATATTCAATCATTTTTAAATGCATTTCATTGCTACAGGAGGTCAGTAGAGTCCCAAATAACTCAGTAGCAACATCTCTGAATGTAAAACTGAATAGCTCAGATTCAAACCCATGGAAGATTACTTTACCTCTAATTTTGCAGGTGCACTCTGCTCAAGAATGTCAAAAAGCATAAAACCTACGGCAAGAAGTCCCTCTTGACTACGTCAAACTATGTAATATCACCCGAGTTCTTACTAACACTTAATTATGAACGATTGGTAGCCAACTTTACCTCGTGACGGTGACCATACAGTTAAGTTTGCTTCGAAAAACAATTGGCGATTATTAGGAACAGTACTTATGAACTAATCTTATGAAGAAATTTATGAACGTATTTATAAAATGTCTTTCTAACTGATATTATTTACCACAATAGTTTATTTCTAAGGAAACTTATAAATTGTGAGATTAATACAACCTCTGTCATTTGTATATTATCATTCACTGCAGTTAATATCCCCTGGTAATACATGAATTCATCTACTAAAAAGTTATTAATGTATTGAAAGAAATCTTAATTCACCTATGAAGTAAGTATATTGTAATTACGATTGTTTCATTTGGTAGCATATACTTCATCACAGTAAAAAAATTCTAAACACATTAAACGTGATATCTCTACGAATTCCATCTTAAATTTAGTTTTGAACACTTGAATAAGTGTTTCTTTCATTAAATCTTTTGTACCATTCATCCTTAATCCTAAAAGTATTCAAAAAGCTATGCATCGAACTAGTACTACTCAACTTACGATTTCATATATATGTATCAAAATACAGAAAAGAATGAAAATTTAATAGCCACCATAGTATCCTAATGTAAATTTTAGGTTGACATATGTAACTATTTCATTAAAATAAATCTCAAGTAAACAAACATATCACAATCTTTTTATAGCTGAAAAACATAGATGACTCAGATTTTTGAGTTGTCAATAGTATAACAGTCGAGCAACAATAATATAGTGTTTCACCTAATATATATATATATATATATATATATATATATATATATATATATATATATATATATAAACGTTAATAATAATAAGGTAACAAGATATGACTGACACGTTTAGTGATAAGTCAAAAAAATGTATGAAATACTTTGAAAACTAAAGGCAAATTACTGAAATCATAAATTTTGAAAACCAAGATGAATTATTATTCATTGTGATCATTTTATTTGATATAGAATGCTTAATTTCGATAAAAAAAAATCTACCAACAGATGATATGTTATCTTTGAAACTGTTATTCGTGTGATAGATGTTTAAATGTCAACCATTCAACAAATATGTATTAAACAGTTTAGTTACCGTGATTCACTTACTTTAGATTAGTTTTGTCCCTAAAACTCTTTTTCCTCAGAATTCACTAAATAAAAATAATAACCAGTATGGAATATATTTTTCAATTTTTCAGTTCTTAACAGTCTGTAAAACGTTTTTTGAATGCATATCAATGCATCAGGGCAACATAGCTAAATGTGCGATTTCATTGTAATCTTTGTACAGTTGAAAAATAGACTATATACACAATTTAAAGGCTGTGATAAAAAGAATGACAATGGAAAAGTTTATCTACCGAGTAAAAATTAATGTGCAGAGTCAGAGGTTTTCATATTGCATACATCACCTTCGATATAGAACTAACAATACGCCATACAAAAAATACTTAAGCATAAACCATTATTTACAAAACCTATTTGTGGTTAAGTGGATTTGCATATTTTTTCATCTTGAATGACTTATGCTATTCTAAAAACGCCATCAATATTGATTTTTAACTTCATGTAGACCAAGTAGTCACTTTTCTAACCATTATTGTACAAGACATTCGTTGCATAAAATATTATAAAACAATAACTCAATTAATTCGTTCAAAAATCAACTTCGTTTAATAATCACTAATAGACTGTATTCGCAACTCGAAAACAACATTTAGGTAGAAAGAAACTTTTTATGTATACGAACTGTTGGCATTTATTTATTATTTATTTATTTGAACATATAAATATTGGTACAAAGGGGCACCAAATACATACATGCCGCACAATTCACTTGATTTG